TATGCGTAGCCTGTGCAGTCTCGCACATGATTTTACGTCTGTCTCTCTTTCTTTCCTGCGATTTGCCGAGGTCACGTCACTGAACCTGTGACAATAGTATCGCGTATAAGTACATTATATTTCATATTGGCTTTGCGAGAGAGAGCTGACTCGTGCATTACAAACCTCGTACGAAACTAGATTTAATTTACTTTTTCACGCGACCTTGTGTAACTGGCCCTGCATTGTGGCGGCACGAAGCTGGCCGAGGCGTAATAGTCGAGAAATAGTGCAAAGTTACAACGATTGTCCAATATTCTTTTGGAGAAGGTAAGAAATCGGTATCCAAACTGAATTTTTTTCAGTATCCTTTACAGACGAGGCCCGTGCCGCGAAATAATGCAGAGAAAGGGAGAGAGAGAGAGCCGGTTATATTCACGCTCTCGAGTATATATATTCGTCCCTGATCAATTAAGCAAAGCTCGAGTTATTTCGCACAATAGAGCGCGCACAGCTATAGCTGTATAAATATATGTGTGGAAGGCAGAGCTGCATACGACCCTTCTATTTATCACCGGTACAGCAGCCTTTGCTGCCGAGGCAGACATATATATAGCTGCACATCATACACATCACACACACATACACACACACACACACACACACATACATAGACACACATATAGACTATTACTTATTTACTTATTCATAAGCCATTCTTCATCCATCTATAAGCAACGTTAATACGGCGCGCGTGCACATACGTATACATGTAGTGCACACAGCTTCTTCTATGTCTAAGTATCTAACTCTCTATATACATATATTCGTGTGCCGCCTGCCTCTATTTATCATTCCCTCTGTGTTTAGCAAACTTGAATCGTCGTCGTCGTCGTCGTCGGTGCTTTTCAGTCTCTTCGCTGCTATACGCCAGAGCTAGCTATACCGAGAGAGAGAGAGAGACAGAATGAAAGCTCAATTTCAAGCGAGCTTTTCAGTCCAAGTCACATACAGTGGCGCTGCAGCGTCGCCTTGATCATTCATGATGTTTGATGATTTCTCTTGCTGTGCAGCTCGCGCCTCGACCCCCTCCCGATCGCGACCAACTTTTTCTTCCACCCTGTAGGTATGTATACTTGGCTCAGCTGCTGGGTCGGATCCTTGACAATGCGCGAGCGAGCGAGCTTTTACTGCATATCGCATTATTATGTGCTCGACGCGCTTTACGATTATTTAAAGGGCGCAATTATTTCGTTGGATAAATACGATATTCGCTGGGCGGTCGAGAGTCATTATTCGGATCGTTGAGTTTGCTTGCAACTTTATTTTTTCCCCATAATTCAACGAACGCTTGGAATTTTGCTGGAACTTTTTTTTCAACATATCAAAAAATTCATTTTTTTCCCGCGTCCCGATTATTTCTGATTATATACCAACCATGGCAAACGGATTCTGTTTTTTTTTCTCCTTTCGGAACGAGAGAGAGAGAGAGAGAGAGAGAGAGAGAGAGCTAGAGAGAGAATCGATTCGTTTTGGGAAGCACGGGCGAGCTCGCGCGGCGCAAGCTGCAGTAGTCGATACTTTAATTCCCCAAGAAGATCCAATTTCATGCTACGAAAGATTCATTGTTCAATTTTTTCGGGGCCAAAGTCTGTGTGAATCTATTTTCATGCTCGGCAATTAAAACTGGTCTCAGCTCTCTCTCTCTGTTTTAAGTTGCGAAATCTTTTTTTTTTCCTGAAATTTTCAAGCTGCTTAGAGAGCATAAAAGCGCGACGATTTTCATGGCCGAAAAATGAAGGATTGTATTACTCGACTGTAAACAATAAACTTCGTGATGCCGATACAAGTCTGTTGCACCGGGAAGAAAGTCCCAAGAAATCCCCCTTCTCCTTAGCTTCGAGTTTTTCACGCCATATATAAGGAATACGTCGAGCGTGTGCATTTAGCGTGGTGCAGGTGCAAAGAGCACGCTCCACTTGACCCTAATTCCCGATAAAATTAAAATATCACGCAATGCAAAGCTCATACAGAGTATCAGTGTGTGTGTCGTGTAGCACGTAAAAACGTTGTCTTGCTAGTTATACATCGATACACACACTAGATGTATTCCATCAGGGGGAGCGAAACTTTATCGTTTCAGAGCTTTAATGGCCCCCCCCCCCGGCAGACGAAACGCGGGTCAGGCAAGAGTGTCGACGCGCCTGCACGGGCGCGTCTTCTTCTTGTCTCTTTTATTTTCAAAAGCTTTATGAATTTCTCGCTCGTCGCGTCGCGAGAGAGAGAGAGACGCATCGAGGCGCGAGCATACGTCGCTTTATAAACGGTTATTAGTTGGGAAACATCGGGTGCACCCGACTAACTGAACGGAGTGAGCTACGTACATGGAAGTCGAACCGAAAATTTCGAATAAAACGTCGTGTCGGACTTTAGCCGCGAGACAAGAAGAAAAATCGCGTTCGAGGCACACTCGATTTGACAGAGAGAGAGCGAATAATACATTTAACGACCAAATAATTTAACGACTATGCGCGCGACGCGTGCAGCAGCGTCGCGGGGTCCGCAATCTAATCGCTCCAACGACGCGCGCAGTTACAAATTATATGAAATAATGCATCGTTCGTATTATATATATGCTAGGCTCTATTTATTTGTGCTCGCGCGTCTAGGCTACGTACATACGTATAATATACCCAACGACAACGCGAAACAACGTCAGCGATGAATTCGAAACAACGCACACAAACGCACAACGGCCTCTGTGTGTATACATGCGGTATATAGTGCAGCTGCACACTGGCTGTATAATGGCCGGCTTTGGGCCAAGTAGCGGCAGTAGTAGTGGTAGTATCGCGCTGCAGTGCAGCTGAAAATAAACGTTACAGTAATCAATAGCTATCGTTCTCGCGTGCGTATGTACACGTTGTATATAATGCCCTCGTACTCCTCCTCCCGCTCGGTTTTATGCCCGCGCGCACGACCGCCTACATGAATATACATAAATAAGCGCGAGGCATATACGGGGATTCGATAGATGTGTATTATACGTATAGTACAGAAGAGAAACGTCGCGACCGATTCGCGTGCAGTCGGTTCATTGAAACAATGAAATTTTTATCATCGCTTTCGTTGTGTTTATGTTGATCGTCGGATCGGCCGGCGTGGCGATCGTGTCGTTGGCGTTTAATGTATAATTTATTATTATTATTCTTTCGAGCCAATAACGATGCCGAGGCTGCTGGCCAACAGCGCTATTACAATACGATCCCGCGTATCATCGATCTAACGGGCCCGTTCGAATTATACATATACGATTTGTCAACACAGCTATTGGTTTGATTCGATGCCTGATATATTCTGAATTAATTTCAATTTATCTGGTAACGTCGTGTACATTTTTTTATTCAAAGCGACTGAGGAAAGATACGAAAAAATGGGATAATTGATTTCCAGTAGCACCTCCCCTGATGTGTAGTGCGAAACACCCGTTGTAACTTACAAAGGTGCAAAAACCGAAAAAACAAATATAAGAAAAGAGTATAAGCGCACGCTCTCAGCGGAGTTTGACTCGCGCCAAAAAGAAGGGATTGAATGGGATGGATTTTTAATGGCTCCTGGGTCTCCTTCGTAGAGAGAGAGACAGAGACAGAGGCTTTAGTGCAGCAACGGTGGTAACTATGTCGCGCGAGTTCAACCTGGCCTGCTAAAGTTGCCCTGGTAAATTGCATTTCATACTTTTTAGCTTCCTTCCTTTTGTTATTCCTCGGCTAGATAGCTCGTTGTAGTCGTCGCTACTGCTGCTACTGCTGCTATGTATGTGTGTGTGTGTGTGTGTGTGTGTGTGTGTGTGTCTTGCCAGTCCTCCTTGGGAAAATGAATAAAGTTTGAATACTTCTCAAATGACTTTCTAGATCCTGGCATCTGCCCCGGCCCCGCCGCGCTTGGATATCTTATCTTGCCCGGCGCACGGCGCGGCGCTTGTTTTTATTTTTATCCGTATCTATATACCTTTAGCCCGCGTAGTAAGCTTCGCAAGATTACTCCGCGAATAAAAATATTTAAAGAGCGTAGTAGCTGTAAAAATACTATTTCTTATACTATCCTCGCTCTATGTATATATGTCGTCCTCAGCCCCACCGTATATACTTTATTATTAAAGTACAAGCGAATGTCTTTTACTGCTGCAGTTTGAAGAAAATCTCTCTCTTACTCTCTCTCTCTCTCTCTCTCTCTCTCTCTTTCCAAGTAAACAAGTCACTTTTCTTAGTTCAAATAATGCACAATTTTTTGCACTCGCCTTTGCGAATCAAACACGAACGCGAAAAAAAAACAATGTATGAAGTACGTACTTGGACAATCGATACTTCATTAACAGTTATCGAAACTGCTGCTGCTGTTGCTGCTGCTCTCATCTCCGCGCAAATAATTGATCAATTAACTTCCCCGCAAAAGGTACTACCTGCGTGGGAGCGTAAATTCCATCGAGGCACGCGCATGATAAAAATGATTGTACATTTTTTTGAAGAGCTTGCGACTCGAGTATTTTAGCACCAATTTTGAAAAAAAATATCTCATTTCAACTTCGCGCTAAAACTGCGTAGCTCTCGAGTGTAAATCATTTCGTGGATTCAATTGTACTAGACTATTAGGTTGACGGGAGAGGAGAGCGTACAACGACTGAATTGCTTAATGGACGCGCGAAACGAGCTCCTCGATAAAATTTCAAGTTAATTTTCACATAAATTAAATTTTGTAAGTACATAGCAGTAAAAAGAAATAGAAAATAGAAAAGCTTTGGATATAATTAACATTTAATTTTTTGTTAGAATAAAATCAAGAAATGAGTCGTACGAGAAAACTGCATCTTTTCAATAATTTTAATATTTGAAAAAGTAAGACTTATCAATCTTTTTTTTACTCAGGGGTACATAAAAAAAATTATAGTCATGATTTAATACTCATTATGTAAATATTTATTTATTAAAATTTAATGAAACATTCTTTACTTCGTCGTTTAAAAAATATACTTTATATTTAAAATTCTGTTTACTTTAAAAATACAGTCAGTTTCGCGTTTGATTTTAAAATAATCTATACAAAGATAGAAATCCACATTTGTTTTCATGATTAAAATGAATATCACAATATAAAAAACTAAAGAATATCTCAAACATGTACACGGTACAAAAAATATTTTACAATGACAAATTAAAATTAAGAATCTGCGGTAGTTTCTTCCGAAGAATTAATTCTCTGCGTATAAAATTGTTCTCCAAACCACTCTTTGTTGTGAATTTCTAAATAGCTCAAGAACATATCCAAATTTTTCAAAACTACTTTTAATTTCTTTTCTGTAATATCTGATGCTTGAAGGAGTTCAGGTAACTTAACTAGAAATAAAATCAGCATTCAGAATTTGTGAATTTATTATGAAAATATAAAACTTACCAAATAAACGTGTTAAATGAATTGCCCCATAAATCATTGACGGTTTCGGTTGACTATTAGTATTATTTGGCATTAACCTCCATTTATTTGATTCTTCTAATAAAGCATTAATTTGAGCTGAATTAATGACAGGAACATTTGATATTCTCAAACTTACTCCTCTTGGACTTGAACATCTAGAACTTGTACTTGCAAGACTAAAAAAAATTATTAGTTACTTCAGCTAAAAATTTTTTGAAATTCATGATGAAAAGTAGTTTTTACCTTGACAAATTTCCAGTTTCTTGTTTTATTTCTTCGGCTCTAGGAGGCTTTGGTTCTTCACAATATAAACGACTCGATCGTAGCTTACGTTTTGTACTACGAATGGCTGCCTTTTCCTGTTCAACTTCTTGCTCTTTGAAAGGAGGTAAGTGAGCAAATTCCGTTTCTTCTGTTGCTTCTTCTTTTACATTTGTATCAGAGCTAAAATTCCAATGGAAAAAGTCTAGGAATAATTCATTTTTATTTAAATGAAAATAAATGGTAATAAATGCTCACTCTGTAGTTTCATCCTTTGTTGACATTTCTGTGGGATTGGTGACTATTGGTAAAAGTTTCATTTGAGCATTTTGGTCTTTTTCAGGAGCATACAGTAAGAGGTCACTGAGAGTGAAATCAAAGTATACTCTCAACCCATCAGCTACCTCTCTCACAAGATTTATTTCTGTAATTGTTTTTTCCAATGTATTTTGTATTTTATTGTTTCTTGATGGTTTGTCAGGAATGTTCGTTAGATGAGTTGTAGTGTAATGCTGTACCCATGATTCTAAAATTGTAATAACTGTTGGTTGTGCTGGTAATACAACTAGCTAAAACAAAAAATGATTGAGAATTGTAATTTGAATTACCATTCAAACCTATAAGTTTAAATATTGAATATAAGTGAACAAACCTTATTTTTATTATGTATCAAGTCATAATCTTGTTCCAATACTTTTTTAAGAGTATTACTTATGTCAATGTCCACACCAGGTCGTGTACTTGCGCCTGATTGACTGCCTCCGTTACTTTCATCATCACCAGATGATTCTCCATATTCTGAACTACTTTCAGAATCTTCTGTAACAATATCCTTGGGCATGATAAATTATTATTAAAATGTGGGAAAAATTATACTTATATGTGGTAATTATGTTCAAGCACTGAAGGTATTCGTGAAATTCACTTCAATTTATTTGTATATAGTCAAGCAGAACTAAGATAAATCAGTACATCATTTATTATTGTTTATATTCTTACCTCTGTATCATAATCTTCATGCTGCCCAGAGCTGCCATCTTCAGATGATCCTGTAGTTCCAGAAGCAGCATGGCTTCCAGTACTTCTTGCTCTTCTCTTTACTTCAGTACCTGATTCTGAACGATCCGAATGTTTATGACTCCGTTTCTTACGTTCACGTCTGTACAAGTATGCTCCTCTAAAACAAAATTTTTGAATAATTTTGAATGCAAATTCTAGAATAGAAATTATAATTAAAATGTACAATTGCAATTGAGCTTTTTGAGCTAAGTCCCTTTGGAGTTGGCGATTTTCTTCAGTATCTTTGAGCACATATTCTTCTGTTACACAACGATCCCAAGAAGAATTCCATCCCTAAATAAACAAATTTTTCCAATGTTTTATCCAAACTTTTAATCAATACAAATAAAGTTTACCTGAAAGTGTATAAGATATTCAACAGCTTTTCTTCCTCTTTGGTCTTTATTAACAATAACATCAAGAACCTAGAGTTTAAAATTTTAATTACTTATAATTGAGTATTCATGGTAAACTCAATTAAAAAATTTTACAACATTACAACATCAAAAAAGCGGAGGCTTGCATTTTAAATTACGCGGAAAATAATGTTGTAGGTTATTTACCTTAGAGTCGTAAAGCACTTTAGCTTTAGTAGGATCAGGTTCGTAACACAAAACTTTTTCGCCGTCGGAAAATTTAAACTTAAGACCGCGAGTCGACACCATTTTGACACTTACGAAATGTCAACGACGATACCCAAACCCGATCGTAAAAAACCAAATAAACAACGATCAAGTTGTTGATATTTACATAGCTTGACAGTTACATACTGTCGAGGCTTAAAAAAGCTAACCAATGATATTTCGACGCGGCTGTATGCACTAGGTGCGCTCTGCTGCACGATGCAGAATGCGCATCCTACCCTTTCATTACAAGCACGATTTTAAACTTCGGCCCCATTTCCCACGTATAGATGGGAATTTTTTTGAATCTATCAATTTTGACTTTAAACTTGGATTAAAGAAAAATTGTAATTTAAAGTTTTGAAAACTTTTGAAACAAAAAATTGGAAGTTTTTGAGAAAAAATTACTTTTGGGATAAGAGAACTTGAAAAATTAATGTAAAAAAATATAATTTTTTTACAATCAAGAAACTTTTAATGACCCGAGGGTCAAAGGTTTGATTATTATCTAACGATAAAGCAAATTATGCGTCACTCATTTATTGCAAACATACACGCCCATTCAATTAAGGTACTACCTATAATTATTTCGTGGTTCAATTTATTTCAACGGAATATAGTTAATATTTTTAGCACCGGTGATAAATAAATAATTTTACATTAAATTATATTACCAGTGCTTTTTAAAACTAAATTTTGTCACGATAACTCACTTTTTAACAATTACTCGCTGCGCAGCTCCTGAGCAACAATGTAGATGAGGCCGATTTAAATATATAGAAGTTTCATGTCCGGTCTCTCTCTATGGGTTCGGTTCGAGTCGGGGAGTAAAAGCATTATCATCATCATCATGTAGCACTGCGTACGCACACATACGGACAGACGCAGTTATCGCCCGCAAACCGAATTATACTAAAGTTGACAGTACAGCTTTTGTGTACCCACATTCCAACTTATAATGGCATTCGATCGCGCTCGTCCGTGACTTGATGAACGCATATTTTTATACTAGTTCGTGTGTAGTTCTTTGATATCGGAGTTTTTTAAATAAACGATCATGGCTGAATTGGCCACGCTCCTCCACCAGGAGATCCCCGAGGGAAGACACAATCTCGCGGACAGTCATTCCAATCTCGAACGAGTAGCCGATTATTGTGAAGCCAATTATTTTCAAGCCGAAAACAAACGGATCGCTTTGGAGGAAACAAAGAATTATACGACACAATCTTTGGCAAGTGTCGCTTATCAAATTAACACGCTTGCTTACAATTTTCTTCAATTGTTGGACTTGCAATCCACTCAGCTTTCTGAGATGGAAAGTCAAATGAATCATATTTCGCAAACTGTCATGATTCATAAGGAAAAAGTAGCTAGGAGAGAAATTGGAGTACTGACTGCCAACAAAATGACATCCAGACAATACAAAATCATAGCTCCTGCCAATCCAGAGAAGCCAATCAAGTACGTCAGGAAGGGTATCGATTACAATATATTGGATGACATAGGACATGGAGTGAGAAGCGCTGGTACACCTAGAACTAAACAACGAGGAGGAAGCCAAAGCAGTGTGCAAAGTGTAGGATCATCTTCGGCATCTGCCTTGGCCCCTAATTTGGTGGGCCCAGCACCAACTACTAAGCCCCCTACACCACCTCAAGCAGGAAGAACAGGAACTTTGAGCAAAAGTTCTAAAGAATATCGCACCCCTCCAGCAGTTGCACCTCCTCAAGTGCCAAGTCATTATGCACCAAACTATCCTTTGGGTCACCCACGAAGAGAGAGAGGTCCAGGTTACAGTACGCTTCCATTACAACATACTACTCAACATAATAATAATGCCAATGCAACTATGCATCATATAAGTACACAACCACAAGTAGGAACTGTACATCCTGTCCAAAGTCATCCACAGACCAATTCAGTAAATGTTCACAGCATAAATGCAATGCCAATAAATAACACCTATACTCAAGATCACGTTAATATGCCTCCTCCACCTTCACCATTGATTACTAATGAAGATATGTCAGATTATGGTAGACATGGCACTATTCATAGATTTTCTCATCAAAGTAATCGTCATGAAGGCAGCAGTCCTCCATTACCTCCACCTCCTCCTCCAGATCAAGATGAAATGTCACAGTTTGGTAGATTATCTCATGGATCTATGAGAGCGATTGTTCCTGAAGAAGATGATCTTCCAGGATGGGTTCCAAAAAATTATATAGAAAAAGTTGTTGCTATTTACGATTATTATGCAGATAAAGATGACGAGTTGAGTTTCCAAGAAAGTTCAGTAATTTATGTATTGAAGAAAAATGACGATGGCTGGTGGGAAGGTGTTATGGATGGTATCACTGGATTGTTCCCTGGAAATTATGTTGAACACTGTGTTTAATTTTTAAACATCTCATCAATAAAATGGGTGAATACACTTAGACATTCATATCTATGCATTTATATTATAGTAAATTCATTTAATATTGTATCATAGCTTATTATTATAAAATTATTACTTCAAATTATTCATAAGAATTAGTTTAAGTGGTATTGAAAAATATTTAAACAACTGTTTACTAAAAGTATTATGATAATTATACAGAAACTTTGGTAATAATACATTTTTATTTACAATCAAGTGACATTTTCAAGATTGAAAATTGATTATTCTGAATGATTTATGTAATCCCATATGTACTGTGTTAATAAAAAACTAAATTATCAGTCTATAAAATAAGTCTATATTATTTTAGCCATTTTCCATGAAGTTATCTGCATATCTATGAAATTGCAGATAATCAAGTTGTTATTCATGTCCAGAATGACTTTTTTTTCTTAAAATTGTTCGTAGTTCTTTGATCTTTTTTTAGTGGCCTGTATAAATATATATTTATTGTTATTTTATAGAGTAAAATGAATTTTATATACCATACTTTTTTATGAATTTCCACTCAACCAAGTAAACAATCCCTTCCAATGTTTAACTTGTACCCTTTATACTCAAAAATGCAAAAAATTATTTTATAAAATATTTGTGTAAGGAAATCATAAAAATGTCCTGAAAATTCTTAATGATACATTGATCAAAAATAGATTTGGCCGAATTAAAAAAAATGATTAAAATATTAGCTAATAAATATAGACTAGTATAGATAAAGATCGTAATAAAAAAATCATACACAATTTCTTATTCAATCATCTTTATTCTAGCAAAATAATAGTTGATTCAAAACGTATCTTTTTAGTTTTTACTAAAGAAAGATTAAACAACGTCTAGTTAAGAAATACGTAAAGCAGCATAAGCAATTTGTAAATTGGTTTTTACAATAATGCCGCCAATGAATATTTTTATTAACAACTTTTACATTCAACCAATTCAATAATTATATTCTCTGGTCAAAAATGATACAAAACTTGAATGCATAAGAATTGAAAGCTGTAGTTACTTTATCTTAAACCCACATGACACAAATTAACAAAAATCAAAACTACATGAACATTATAATTCGTGAAATAAACGTGATGCGATATTTTGATGACTTCGTTCGTCACCAAAAAACAGAATTTTTAAAATAATACTCACAATTATTTTCATATAAATTGAACATAATACAAGTATCCACTGCAATTATTATTAAAAAAAAAAAAAATACTAAACATATACATAGTGATGACCATTTTTTATGTAACAAAAGTTGAGTGACTTATTTAGCATTTATAAAAATGACATATATTAATCATCTCGTACAATCACAATATTGAATTATGAAAATTTTTCCCATGATCAAATTCATGATCCAAAACATTTTCCAAAGACATAGTTTTCTAAAATTTCACTACCATGTTTATTACTTTCAACATCTTATCAATACAAATCAAAACAATATTTTATTTACAAAAATGAAAGATTTACAGACCCATTTGAAGTTTTTTATTTACAAAATATATTCCTCCAACTACGTAATTCGCCTATTAACTTCAACATTTCATTACTTATTTATAAATTTTTATTTTCATTGTTTCCTTAATTAATCGTTTCACTCTTTTTACTGGGAATAATTTTTTTCCAATATTCTTTTTTTCCATACTTTTAGAAAATCATTGGGTTTCTAACTTCTTTTTTAACACATTAAACCTAAAAAACTAGTATCTTTCTACAAACTTCAGATAATAAACTCTTAAAATTTTTAATTTTGTTATTATCATACGTTTATTTCGAACAAAGTATATGAATTATACTCTACGCAACTCAGCAATTTGATCATACGTTCCTTTTGTATTTTTTTCTGTACAAAGTAATGTGTACGTCGCATTTATTATTTCATTCATTATAAATTTCTATCTTATTTATCTCTTATTTATAATATATATATATTTAGATACTTAAATTGTAGATATCAAACTGTACATCTAGCATCACGGCAGTTAACAGTCAAAATTTATTATATGAATTTGGCCTTCTAACGCAACACTGATATTTCATGATTTTTTATGCAGTGAACGCAATTTAAATTTCATGTTTTTAAAATACCAAAAAATTGAATTTTCATCTTAATTGGATATTTTAAACAAAATTGATGAAAGTTATATTTTTCGTGAAATCAAGATCTTATTGATGCTTCGAAAAAATTAAAAAAATGTTTGATCTAATTAATCTAAAGGTATGAATTTTTACAGATCATGAATCAGAGATTGACTTAAAAGAAATTAAGACAACGATTTAATGGAGATCTTACCTGCACAAGAAGATAGAAAAGCTTCTGTGACTGATCACAAGCAATTTAATTACAAAATACATTCATTTTCAATTGCCAAGCAAGCATAAACATTATAAAAGTCTTTCAACAAGGTATTTTTATAGAATATAGAATAATTCTTAATATATTATAAGATTAAAATGAACAACTAGTTCAGCAAGTCTCCATATATATTTTAATATAATTATTTATATTATTATTCTATTTATGAAAATGTATTACATTCATAAAACATAAATGTCTGTTTTCATTCTTTTTACATTAAATGAAAAATGTTAAATCATTTTTGAATAATTCAACATATTTCGATAATAAAAAATAACGCAAATGGGTATATATCATTATTTTTATAACACGGAATTATAAGTAAAGTAACAAACAATCATTACAAAGATTTTCTCATAACGATTGACCTTAAGAGAAATTTTCATTTCATCTAATGATAAGTATAATTTATGTAAATTGTCAACAAGTTAATTCCATTTAATTATGAATAATATAAATTGATAATAATTGTAATAATTATAATGCAGTATCAATCTTTTTGAAAACTGCAATCATTCATCCGTTGTTTCACAAGTCATGATGAATTCGATTTGGTGCTTTTTAATATATTTACACATAATAATAATCACCAAGTGTTATCCGACCACATGTGAAGAACATAATTAGTTGTAGTAGCAGTTGGTAATAGTTGACTAGCCTTGACAAGTGAGACTAGCTAATCACTGTCAAGGTCACTATCCGATGGTCATTTGGGATCTCGAATAACTTTCCGTCGTTTGGTCTGAGGTTCATCCCCTGCAGCAACTAAAAAAAATTTTTTCCACCACATTTTATCATGGGTATTCAAGTGCAATTTTACACTATTATAATTCCTATCATTATTTATTTTAAATATTATTAGAATTAATATTATTATTTATATTGTTCTTTTGATAAACGTTTTAAAACAATGTTCAAGAAATCAATATTACTGTGGAATATTTAAAGCTCAATGTGTTTCTGAATAATAAAATAATATCAAAAATTACTTGAATGAAAATAAAATTTGTGTAATAAATTGAGTATTCGATTAGTTCATTAATGGATATGATGGAAATACGGTAAGATTATGATGATAATTATGAACAAGCACGTAAATTGCTTGCAGAAAAAAAAACAATTTCATGAAAATATTTGTTTTAAGATTATATTTAGAATTAAACAGAATTGTTTTTTACATACATCATTACAAATAACATTAGAATTTACTCCACTACAAGATTTTAATACAAGTTGACGATTAAACTAATAGACTCAAATAAAAATAAAAACTTAAAACAAATATATATGTTTTTATTTATTGATGTCAAATGCTATATTTCATGATTTCAATTATTGCAAATGAATATTCGATGGTATGTTTTTTTCTAATGTTAAAATATTTATCGCACATCCATCTTTTATATTAAATATCGTTACTTTGAATATCATAAATAAAACAAATTAATGTTCGTTTTCTTCAAAATCTTGTAGAACACGGATATGTTTGTACAATATATTTATATATACTCTACTAAAAAGAAGACATACATAAACATTTATCTTGCCTTTATGTCTGTACCTCAACAGTCATAATGCTAAAATTCTTTCATTTACTTAAAAAATTTGATCCATGCATAGCAATGACTGCTATCAAAGGACGTAAACTGTCTCATTACAATGTTTTACTTTATTATATTTTATTTATTAACTAATATATGCATATTTTATATATGTTAGTATTATGCAAATGTTATACATGCGCTTCATACGATAACGATACAAAGTTTGAAGCAAATAATTAAGATATATAATAATTGTTTTAATTTATTAACTTCAATTTGATTTGCAATATTAATATATAGCTAATATTTACGTTCAGTTTAGTAAAATTTCACCTATAAATGTATTTGAATGAATTTAAAAAAAATTTTAAATTTAATCTTTATTTACACAAGGATTTAATTTAATTTAAATTTAATAATTTTTTGTGGTCAACACATTCATTCCATAACATTTTTGTATCAAACTTTGTCGCGTTAGAGTTAACCAACGTACAAACTATCATTGGGAAAAGTCACGGTTTTTGATCGGTAAATGTTTCAATGATAATGCATAATGCATATCTGTGTCATTACATTTCCTTTCAAATACACATAAATATCTCTATATTGTATATCGTAGCACTTTGACTTTTGAATGCACATATATCACAGCAGAAGTACATGATTTTTTGAAAGAAAAAAAAAATGAAAAAATTGAAAAATCTAACAGAAACTGACATGCATCTGGTGGAAGTGATGGTGGATAGATTGATAATTATTCGATTCTTCCATTTAAATAATATTTACAAAAATAAATTAAAGCTAGCTAATTTTATATTATTATATTACACCATAAAACTGAACATTCTATGCAAATTGCACCTACAGTAATAACTTTTACTCGTTCTCTTTGATCACTCCTTATGTAATAAACATTTAGGCTAATAAATCTAACTTATACAAATTTTCAATAGAGGTTTGTTAAACATATTATTTGTCAACTAATAATATATTTTGTAGTTATTAGGTATAATTATATGTACATAATTTTACTTAGTAATTCATTTAAAAAAATTTGTTCAGTTGCAAAAATTTTCATACAACAATCTAAGCTCATTGTGATTTCTAACCATTCTTAATAAATTATTGACTCTATCCTTCATTATTTCCACCAATAAATGCATTCAATTTAACCGCTCTTTAATTTATTTACATCGATATAGCTTCTTTTATAATGAATGTGAGCATTTACAAGCTTTTTTAATGTCTCTTTTATTCGCGTCATCGTTATCATCATTATCAGTATTACTCACCGGCAGCACCACTCCTGGTTTTTCTGCGATTGGCTTCCTCAAGAGTACTGCTGCGAGAAGTTGCACCTCTTGTGTTACCAGCAGGTGGAGCCGCCAGAGGAGACGCCGTGCTTTGACGTACCGATCTCCTAGTGGCAGCGACTTCAGCTGGTTCGGAACTGTTATTGCTGCCACGTAGACGGTCCTTCATTACTAGACCACCACCAGGATTACTACTTGCAGTAGTTTGATGATGTTGTAGACTTGGACTATTGCTTCTTGTTTGGTGCTGCGTTTGCTGTAAAGCACTTTGATGTTGAGATTGAGCTTGTTGAGCGTGCTGTTGTTGCTGTTTGGACAACAGCAAACGCTGGGCACGTTGAGTTACTGTATTGTTTTGCTGAGTGCTGTTGGTGACGTTGAGTTGGACGCCCGTAGCTGCACCACCCGTACCTCCAGTTCTGAAGAACAAATTACAATTTTAGTGTTAATTCAACAAACTTAAATTATAAATATACACATTTTTGGGAGTTTTCAACGAGATCATTTTATCAACAAAAATAAATTAAAAATAATTCAGAAACGTATATAGCTATAATAATCAAACTTATATACTTTTGATCTTTTGGTTTAGGTGATCCTGTACAGGTTTCATCCAAAACTTTCGATTTTGCTTTAACTGGATTTTCGTTATTATGCTCATCATCAGATGACTCAATGTCCACAAGCATTGGCCCTAGAAGAATTCAGGAATTTTTTCTATTAAATATTTAACTGTACTCATGGTAAAACTAACCAATTAAACTTTCTACTATTAAAATGATGGAACAAAAACAGTAAAAAATTCTACAGTCTTATAGATACATCAAATGTCATCAAAATATATGCAACATCAATACAATATTGAAAGGTCCTTTTAAAGGTCAACTATACATGGTCTGGCTTGAAAAAGTTTGAGTAAAAACGATTTTAATGAATCAAACATGAATTACCGTTTTTCATCTATCAATAAAAAATTGAAGTTATTGCCAGATATTTCCATCTGTGTATAAAATGATTACTAATTTTTACAATCTTTAAAAATATGAAGATGAAATAATGTATTCATGCTAAGTATAAAAAAATTCGAATTTAATGAGATACTAAGGATTGGTATAAATCAATTCCAGTGCTTGATTTCTGTAAAATTACCCCAACCATAGCAGAGCTAACTGAATTTTTCATTAAAGTGAAGTGAGCGTGGGAAATGTAAATGATTGGGTACTCTTACAAAACATGATATTTAAATTTAAAAAAAATTTACGTTTTGAATTTTTTAATTTATGAACTGTGCGTGAATACTTTTTTTGAATTTTTCAATGAAAATTTTATTTTTAAAGATGACAACTAGGAAAGATAGACACCTTTTTTGCTTTTAGACAATATGTTGATGCCCTTTTTGACCTGTGTGTCATCCTTGCCAGTAGTGAGTTGCCTCTTAACAGGACCTCCTGCGCTCTCATCTACGCCCATGCAAGCCTTAATAAGTCCGGCTGCGTTCTCCGAGCATTTCCGTTTACCTGTCCTCGGTTGTTCCTCACTATTGGAAGTCCCGCTGCTCTCACTTTCCTGCCGCCTACGTTTGCCGCCCACTTTGGATGGGATTGCCGCTGAAACGTTGGCCGTAGTCAACCCAACAACTTTGGTTGCCGCTTGATTCACCAATTGTTTCGTATTCAGCTTTGCGTAAGGTGATATACTCCGTCTCTCACTTTGTACTTTACCAGCTCGACCTTGCTCCACCGATTTTTGAGATCTAGTGCGCAGAGATCGTTTTTCCCCAATTTGAGAAGGAGTTGCTGTATCGTTATCGATAAGCAGTTGCTCTAGTAGCGATGGCTTGTTATTATTGCCTTTCTTATTTAAAACAAATTCGTCGCTGTTAACTTGCGTTTCTTCAGCTTCTTCGATACATATAACATCTTGACGACCCTCGAGTTCTTGTTTTCTCCTCCTCTTACGCTTTAACTGTTCTGGAGTGGTTGTAGTACTTGGCTCTGAGCTGCTCTCTAATTCTCCGGAAGTTTGAGGAGCTGGACTTGGGGTATCGTCTCGCTGCATGACAACCGGGTTGGAATACGTATAAAGTGGCGGTGTAATGCGTATTGGCTGAGGATCATCGTCGCATGACGGCGACGCAGGAGCATTCGATTCGCAATTACTGGTCACATTCTCACTAATCATTTTTGTAACTAGATCTTCTGTTGCCTTTTGAAGACTTACAGGTGTTGCCAAACTTTCGTCACTAGTACTAGATGGTTCTTCGGTCGTCATCTTAGTATCTTCTGTTTGGTTATCGTCTGGCAATTTTATCTCAACTTTTACTGGAACTTCTTTTTGTTCTATCACAGGAGACTCTGTCCGAGGTTCCTGCCTCGTATCATCAATGATTGAATCCTCCTGGTAAACTTCCGTTTCAATTTCGATTTTAGATGGAATTTCATCGATTGCTGCTATTTCTGATTCTTCATGGGTCTCCACTTCAACACTAACATAATTTTCTATTGTCTTTGCCGTATCCTGATCTTCTTTTTGATTATTGTAATTACTATTTTTAATATTATTATTATCGTTCACACCTTCTACTTTTTCGATACTTTCAACTTTCACAATTTTATCTTCCTCTTTTGTATCTATTGGTTCAACTTTGATTTCTTCAACTTTCAACGATTCCACTTTTACCGATGTAATATCTACACTCTCAACTTCAGTTTTTAACGAAATGTCAGCAATATCAGGCTTTATATCTTCCGATGTTGATACACTAGGTTCAGAGACGAGTATTTCACTTGCAGTTTGCGGCTCGAGTTTTTCATCAAGATGATTTTCGGTGATGTCTTCAGATAAATTAATATTGACACCAGAACTATTATTACAATTACTGCTACTGTCAAGTGGTAAGGAAGGCACATCGTTGATTTCTATCGCAGTTTCTGTAGATTTCACAGACGCTACTACAATATCTTTTTCAGGTGTTAATCGTGTTGAAGGTACTGTGGAAAGCGGACTTGGTTCTAAAGCTGTTTGTGAAACTGATGAACCAGTAGGCCTATGTATGGGAGATTCCCCCTGATTAGGAGATTTTTCCGACAAGGCATCCATCGACTCTATTCCGCTGTCTTCAGCAGCTGTTCCGCTATTGGGTTGAACAGTGACTACTCCATCAATGGATTGATTTTCGATTAATTTTTCTTTTACCTTCGTTTCAGTCGAACCAAGATCATTTATGGGCAATGTTGATATTTTATCAACTGAAATTTTTTCCGGTTCATTTGAACTTGATTCTTCTGTTTTGCTTGTTACTGGTAGCTCAATAATTTTATCCAAGTTTGGAGTAGTTTTTATTAAGGTTACTCTTTGAACAGTTGCTTCAATTTGAGTGGATCTATTACTAATAATTTGGTGATTTGGTAAAAGTTTTTTAGCTTGTAAGGCCGTGACTGGTGTGAGTTTACTGATGTCGTTCTTCGCCACGGTTGCTAGTGTATGGTTTTTCAGTTTCTGACCACTACCAACTAGAAGTTTAGCCGTTTCAATATCCGCTTTGAGCTGCTGTTGTGACACAGATGATTTTTGTTGTAACTGTTTTTGTGCCAATGAAGACTTGTGTTGTTGGAGTTGAATATTTAACTGCGATTGAGATTGCGATTGCGGCTGCTGTTGTGGCTGCTGTTGTGGTTGAAGTTGTGATTGTGGTTGCGATTGTGACTGCGATTGCTGTTGCTGGATAATGACTTTTTTCTGAATTTGCTGTTGTACAACGATTGTCTTTGGCGGTTGTTGGGTTGAAACTTGAGGTTTTTGTTGTTGTTGTTTTTGTTGTTGGGGCTGTGGCTGCTGCTGTTGTTGTTTTTGTTGTTGGAGCTGTGGTTGCTGTTGTTGTTGCTGTTTCTGCTGCTGTTGCAGTTGTTGTTGCTGCTTCTGCTGCTGTTGTTGTAGTTGCTGCTTCTGATGCTGTTGTACCTGTTGCTGCTTCTGTTGCTGTTGTACTTTTTGCTGCTGCTGCAGCTGTTGTACCTGTTGCTGATTCTGTTGCAGAGGTTGTTGCGTTATATTTTTCTCGCTAATAGATACTTTGTTGTCTACATTTGTTGAATCAGTAATCTGCAGAATATTCTTTGGTGGAGAGGCTGAGACTTTTTCTATTTCGTCTATCGTAACACTCGGGTTCGTAACTTTAGTTAAAGAAACAACAGTCGGATCCAAGCCTGCCAGCTGACTCGCCAACTGCGATGTTCCAGTTTTTTGAGATTCCATTTGGTGCAAATCTGACTCATCGAGCAAACTCAATTTTCGTCGTTTTGCTTGGGTGGCGAGATCTTTTCTTAAACCATTTGGTTCTGGTTGCCGAACACTTTTATCACCAATTACTCTACTCGGTGTTTCAACTTCAGTAGATGTTTGTTTTACTTCGGTAATTTGTTTAATGGATGAATTAAGTTCGTTGGTGCCAGCAGGTGCGGGCTCCATTGATTTTATTGATGTAGTTGCTGTTGTAGTAGATACCGTCGATGTGGGTGGTGAAGTAGTTGGAATTTCATCACTACCCTTTGACGAAATTTTACGCCACTTAATCTGACTATCGACTAATCCACCTCCTGACAATAAGTTTTGCTCACGTTGCAAACCGTCACCACTTCCTTCAGGGGATATCGACTTTTTCTTTGTATCTCTTCTTTTCGTCTTACCTGAAAAAAACAAAAAATTAATATTTTAGATAAATATTCAATTTGCTGTCATATTAATGAAATTGTATACTTTACCTCCTCCAATTTTATGTTCGTTTGTATGATTAGATAATTCTGGTTCAACCACTGAAGATTGCACTTGAATAACATTTTTGATTATTGGTTGACTTTGCGGCGAAGTCTTGAGCTTGGGCGGAGATGGTACTCTACTATTGACGGTAACTTCATCAACGTCACCGATAACTTTTGTAGGGCTAGATCTCAATGTTTGCTGCTGAGGCAACTGTTGTTGCTGTTGCGGAGACTGTTGTCGCTGCACAAATTGTTGCTGTAGCTCTAACGGCGAACGACTACCACTATTGCTGCTTGGACTGCTTCCTCTACTGGTGTCTTGTGTAGAAGAATTAGCCTTTAACATATTTGTATGAACAGTATTATTTATTTTTAACGCGTTACTCAAGCTATTCATTGTAACATTCGCCACGGGCGTTTTCGAAGCCGATGTCGTAGCCGATGTTATCATATTGAATGTCTTTTTTTGTAACAATTTGTTTCCATCTGTTGTCTCTTTTAATTTTTTTAATTTTCCTTTTTTCTTTGTGCCAGCGTCACTATCACTACCACTTGTGTATGCACCCGAAGAAGACGCACTGCTAACTGTGACAATCCCACCAACAGTTGCATTAGAAAATTCCTTTTTCTTTTCTTTTTTGCCAATTTGTACTACTGATGCATTTCTTCCTCTCAAAGAGATATGCAAAGGAGGTACCCGAGGTTCTTCGCCGGAACTTTGTGACGATGGCGACATATTGGCTGACGTGCTTGTTACGGGAAAAGTCAACGCAGTTGACATCGTCGACGAAGGCGATGTTTTTATGGACGATTTTTCAGCTTTACGGCTTGGCGATGCATTAACAAACGATACATCAACTTTGTATGCTGGCATCACTGGCTCTGACTTTTCAAGCTTCAATCTGCAAAAATACAGAGCTTAAATGTAATTATTTTTTCTTTATGAAACTTTTGGCTTGAGAAAAAAATTTTTACTTACCTCAATTTGATTTTTTCAGTCGGCATAGGACTGTCTCTACTAGATTTTATCCTATTGAGTTTGAGACTGTTTTCACTTGCAGTGGATTTAGCTGCATTTTCCGAATCAGATTGATCAGTATTAATTGCATCATTACGTTTTGATAAATTACTGTCCGCATCGTCATCAGAAAATACCGAATTCGATCGATCATTTGATGGTGAAGGCAGGGGGAAAAATTCATCTTGATTTTCTATTGCACTTTCAGGTTCAGACTCAGAAGACTCGCTCGGCATTGGTTCCATCATGCCAGTCAATGGATTAATTAAATATTGACGAGGTTTTCCTGACGACGTCAATTCAATATCCGTTGATGACGTCGAACTGGCTGAATTTGTTGTTAACGATGTCGAAGACGTATTAACGGATGCTTGAACAGGTGAGCTTACTGAAGTGGTAGTAACTACAGTAGTTGATACGGAAACATTGGTAGAATTTGTAGGGAGGCTCTAAAAAATGTATGATATGATTTATAAATTTTTTCCAGACGAAAATATATCATCGACAATAATTTTAATTAACATACCAGCGACACATTTGTGCTTGTCTGAGCAAAGGCACCGGTGGAAGCCGAATGTATAGTAGTTGATGAAGTTGTGTTGGGAATGTTTTGGCCTGACGTGGGTAATTGAGTCCCGTTGACTTCCTGAGGATTTCGACTCAATATGTTTTGACTTTGACCATAACGAAATTCATTCGTCGATCCCTGATTGACATTGACGTTTTTTACTTGATTATGGTGAAGTTGCTGCTGAATATTAGTATGCTGTTGGTAAGCAGGCTGAGATTGCTGATTTGCGACAACAGGCTGAACTGTATTTTGCACTGGTTGCGGTTGCTGCACCGTCTGCTGTTGTATCTGTACCTGCGGCCGAGAGTACTGTTGAGTCGTTTGTTGGTTCACTGTTGTACTGACTGACTGCATTGTTTGCTAGAAATAAGCAATGTTTTATTGATAAAATTGTTACAAAAATGTATGTTATTCATACTCTTGTACATACTCTTGCCTGCTGCACTCCAATTTGAACCATTCTTTGTTGATTGACATTAGCTCCCACAGTAGTTTGTTGAACCACAGGATGCTGTTGCTGTACAATTTGTTGTCCACTTTGATTCAAAGAAGATACTTGCATCGGTTGGGATCCAACAACTGGTTGCTGTTGAACAGCTATACTTTGTTGAGGTTGAGACGGCCTTTGATACACCTGTGTTTTAGCCTAAAACATATTTTATTTATTAATTATCATGTATCAAGTAGTATTTGAATAAAGAATTGATTTCATATAAAGTTGATGTACCGGTTGACCATTCACAGGAATTTTAGCAGCTGAACCTTGTATTTGCATTTGTTGTTGAGACTGTTGTTGGACTTGCTGAGGTTGAGATTGAGTTTGTTGCACAGAAACGCTCACGTGAACAGGAGTGGATACAACAGGAGTACTATTAGTCATTTGATTTACACTTTGGACAGGTTTATATGCCACTTCTTGTCTCACAGGGAATTTCTGTGGTGTTTGTACTTGAGCGTGAGTATTAACCGTAGCAAAAGCTGAAGGACCATGGCCTAGCTCAGCGACGAGAGGCGCACTCGAAACAATGAGGTCTTCAGTTCGCAAAGTGTCAAGACTCGTTGGTGGTGAAGGTTCTTTCCTTCGTACTGTTGGTTTTTTCTGTGGACGTATACGATTGACCATCGTTGAACCTTCTACCACTACAGGAGGCAACATTTTCTGTTGCTGACTATTTGCATGAACATCAGTATTCGTCGAAGTTGACGGCACACCATCATTTTGAAGCAAATTAACGAGAAGAGGACTCGACAATGCTACTTGGTTACCACCAAGAGAGGAAGCTTGATTTGGGATAAAGGTAGAATTTGTGTTTGGCGATGGACTAGATGCCATGACATTCGGCGCTTTGTACTGATTTGTTCCCATGGCAGCGACCTAAAAGAATGTAATAATCAGTTATAAAGTGATTTAAATTGAATATTACAGATAAAAATTTATTAAAGATTTGTTTTACCGTCTGTGGTACTGTATGATCTGCTTGGGAAGATGTGACGGTCTCTTGAACAGCCGGATAAGGTGGAGGCGGTTGGCTGTGTTTGAGCGGTATCGTTGGCGTTTGAGGAACAGCTGCTACCGCAGGGGCATTTTTATTTATTGCTTGTGCTGCATGGGTCATGCTAGCAAATGGGAATGGCCCATAGCTCGACCGCGACGTACTTCCGCTTGTACTCGCAACAGCAGATTGAACAACGGAATTAGCGCCTAACGCAGTCGAAGCTGTCATTTGTTTTTGTTGATTTGCAGGTTGCTGCTTATTCAAAAATGTAGGAATAGGCTCGCAATCTGTCGGCGCCACAACGTTTGGGGATCGAAACTGGGGTTGTTTTTCTGTAGATGGACCTATAAAAAATGAATAATAAATTATTTTTAAATGTTTTTCAAAATTGCTTTTATGAAACAAAATAAAAAGTTGTTTAAGCATACCTGCAGATATAATTTGAACAACATTCCGTAAGGCCAATGAAACATTAGAAGAATTACTAGGACCTGGTAAAGAAGTACTACTGTCTTCTGTACTAGATAAGTTAGAAGAATCATTTTGAGATTTATTTGCACTTTCTTCTGATGATCCTGAATTTAAAACTATCTCTTGAGGTTCACCTCCATATCGGCCTGCTATTGTTAACGATATCACCTGTAAATAAAATTTGTCATGAAGAATTTATTAAAAACAATTTTGTAATGATTATAGATTAAACTAGCTAATTAAATACTCACTTCGCCTTCTACTTGTACTGAAAGTATCCCAAGTTGTGTAAGATTGGATGAGCCTTGAGCTGCAAGTTCTCGCAACCGCAAAGCAGCTTCTTTCGGAATAGAAAATGTGACTCGAACTGAGTTCCATGGTTCAACTTTGTTTACTATCAAACTTTTTTCCTTATCTATATTAAAATAATACATGAAAATAATTAGAGTTATGCATTCAAAGTTTTTTTTTCTTTTTTATAAATTCTTTGTACCTTCGCAGACAAGGGAATTAAGTTGGTCAACAATAACTTTGAACTTGTCTGGAAATTCTGGATCATCAATATTACCTTCACAAGTTATTATTGTTGTGATTAAATCACCATCACTATCAGCCGCCATTTCTAGAATATAAATTATTATTCAATTTAGATAATATTATAAACAATGCCATTATTATTATAAACAATGTATTTGTAATAATAATATTAATATTCATATTAAAATTGTTTACTCACCAACGATAAATCACATAACTACATATGTAGTCTTGAGACTTTTATATACAAATGTTTGTGTCTCTGTATGGAGAGATTCTTCTGTCACAAATAGTGACCAACAAATCCAGCAATATATCCACCTGGATTATTTTTCCTGCAACCAAAATTGTTGTTTAATTAAATATTGTAAAATTAAATTGACATGGCTCAATTGTTGTATTAGAAATTATTGCTCCAATTTTTATCATAAAAATTAATTAACTAGCATTCATTCACATTTACTCTAAGCTTAATGCACATCATCATTAGGTTCATTATATAGCGAAAAACTATAAATCTTGGAGAAAATTGGTACATACAAAATACAATGCCTAACAAACTTTGGTAGGTAAAAAATAAGCTCAACAAGAATAACCTCTATTCACACCGATGCTCTGGACACGGAGAGCAAAATGTTAGCGAAGTCGGCGTAGCACACTCATAGAAGCAACAGATTTAACGTCACCAAACACCGAAGAGCGATGAGAAACTCTAATGCACGGCAACCAGCTAACGGTAGCACCGGTCTGTCAAAAACGGAGCACGAAAACTTGCAGACAGTTGACGAAGTCCAAATAACGCGACACGCGCTACGCGAAGTAAGGACACAACAAGCACACCAGGTCGCTGCTCGCTATCCCATATATACACTACTTACACGAAAGCATCGTGTACTTTATGCATATACACACAGTCACGAACTCTAGACCACCACACAGATGCGTATACACAAGGATTGTGATTATATACCGAGAGTAGAGTGTAGGCTTCCGCGTAAACATGCGCCACGAGTCGCCTCGAAATGCAGACAACCAACGGATTATTAGAAGGCGAATTTTGGGCAATTTCAAAACGGAGCAATCGGACTTTTCATCGATAGCAAAGGCTCAAAAAACTGCACCTTTCAACGGGATCATCGCAATGCCCGATCGAATCGGTCGATTCGAAACGAGAAAAAAAAAGAGCAAGCAGAAAATAAAAGTTTGCACAAAGCGCATATACAGCGCGAGTGCAGCGCGAGTGAAAAAGGATAGCGATATAGCAGCAGCAGCAGCAGCAGCGCACAGCACGTGCGAGAGTGTGTGCGCGCGGCAGTTTCTTTGTACGTGTGAACACGGACGTGAGCCAGAGAGCAACATACACAATCATCAACACACACGCACGCATACTCGCGCGCACTTTTATCGTGTGTGGTGGTATACCGAGCGTGTATACACGCGAATGTGCGTATGTATACAAACGCAAGCCTCGAGTACGCACACACACATTGGCGCGTAGGTATACATACACATAACACAATACACATACGCAGTAAGTGTATACGCACGCATACACCGACACATAGCCGCGAAGAGAGCGCACAAGCTGCATAAGAGTCAGTGTACGTGTGTGTGTGCGTGCATATAGACAGAGAGTGAGCGAGAAAGAGATCGGGGGGCCACCATTTTGTACCGTCGGTCCGGGGGAGTACGGAGGGTTCTCGGCTCGCGGAGTCTCTCGTTTACGTTCTCTCTTTCTCTCACTTTTTGTTTTCTCTCTCTCTCGCTCGCTTATAAACTCTCCCTCTGCGTCTCTCTCTCTCTCTCTCTCTCCCTCTGATACCATATACTCTTTGGCTTTTTCTCTCGCTCCGAAACATAACATCAACACAAATTTAGAGAGACTCCAGGTTGACACACCGGACGTATTGAACTCTCTCTCTCTCTCTCTCTCGCGACAGAGAGTACGAGAGTAAGACAGAGAGGCGAGATCGTGTAATATATACGAAGCCTTTGCGTGCGATTAGCGCCAAGAGGTTACAGTACGATATCTAACGAAGGAATAATTACCCCATGTTAAATGGCGTAGCCAGTGCTCGTACATGCAACAATATATTACGCACACGCACGTCGCGCGGCGTATACACACATGCATATTTGCGTGCACACAATCACGCACGCAGAGACTCGAGACTACGATATACATACATGCATCGGGGTACAGCGTAAACGCCAAATATTATGTGGGCACACATAGCAAGGGAGACAGGAACTAATTAAAATTGGGTGCACGAGCTGCCAAGGATGCTGGCTGCAACGAGCCCGAAGCCACTCCGAGAAAGAGAGGCAATGCAAGTGCTGCACACGCAATTATTCGTTATATGCATCGGCCACGAGGATGACACAATGGGGGAGCGACGACGACGATGGCTCTGTTATTTTTACGCACCTTCGTCTAGTCCTCTATTGGGGCTTGAAACGATCGACGGGTTTCGTCGAAGAAGACGACGACGACGACGACGACAATGCTGACGAGCCTGCAGTGGCAGCGCAGTAGTGGTACAACATGTTGCTCCGATGTATACACTCGGAATCGAGAGAAAAGTTATAATATCATTATCCCCCTTGCTTCTCTCTCTCTCTCTCTTTATATTAGCAGCACTGCACTACCATAGCATAACGATTATATTATTATTATTGCAACGAGGAGCTTCGGTCGAGCTTCGATGCGGCGACTACTGCGATCATCGTCGTGTGTATCGTCATTCATGAAAAACAAAAAATCGACGACGACTGCGAGCGCCCACAACAATTGTTTTATCAAAGTTTTCGTTTGCCAATTGTCTACAGCTGAGCCAGTTGCATCAAGTGCAGCCTATGGCTTGCAATGTTTTCAGCTGCTGCTGTTGACGGCAAAACACAAGAGCGCGCTCCTTTCGCGGTATCTCGCTCGTAGTTGCCTATTATATCGAAGCGACACTTTTTTCCCCGTCGACTGACTCGACCTGCTCACCGCACACACACACGCGCACGCACGTTTTCGTCCGAGATGCGTGTCAGGAAAATACGCGGGGCTTTCCTCAGCTATCCGGTATACATGGACAAAACTGTCCTCGGAAACGCTCACTCGTCAGTTATCAACACGCACACACGGACACACACGGACACACACCAACAACTCACAAGTCACTTTATGAAGAGTGTGTATATGTAGCTAGCTGTGCTGATGCCTGTGGTGCTCTATCGCTGTTGCTGCTGCTACTCCTCTTTGGGCTGCGTTAGCACACTTACGCGTAGCTGCACGGCTCGCGACGCCCCGTAGATCCCGCGTTCCTCGGATGTCAGCCGCGGATCTTTTGATCGAGATTGACCACCGAACTTAGCGATCGTTGGCCCTTTTGCACATTATAATCTGGTCGCGAAACGACGACGAACGAACGCCACGGGGGGACAATAACAAGGTGCCGCCATTTGCCAAGGCGGCCAACTGACATGCGCAAATCAATCGCCCGCGCCGCCACCACTGCCGACGACGACCACTACCGTAAGCTCACGCCTTACATACACACTCGTACACATGCGAAATTTCGCACTCACCGATTGACACACACATACACAAGCCCGTACACATACCCGATGCTCCTCGACTCGACTGCGTTTTTGCGGGCCAAGATATGGACTTTTGCATGCGCCTCGACGCGAAATGCATCTGCGCTCGTAGGCCTTCTGCGTCGTCGTCGTCGCGGTGGACTGAAATTGTTGAAACGTCTGAAAGCAATTTCTGAAGGACCGTCGTCGTGCGGTCGCTGCTGCTATCTCGCGGCGATTTTGCTCATCTCTATGTTCTCTTCATGTGCATGCAATATTGCAATATGCAACTTGCATATCATTCATTACATTATTGAGCTTTTGAGATTGAATTTTCATTCAATTGTAGATGTATTCAAAAGTAAATTGTTCAACATTATTGCTTAGATTCTTGGGTTTCATGATTGATATTAGATATTGGGTCCTTAAATTAATACAATAACTTGAACAAAATTCCTCTTTATGGTCTAACAAGTTACAACTCCTGTTACTTTGTTAATTAATAATTAAACTTATTCTTACTTTTCTAAATAAAACTGGGTTTTAATGCTCCAAATAAAAGTAACAGATTAACCCAAAATTACAAGAATTAAATCACCTTTTATATTCAAATATATCAAATGCCAATTTCCAATGCAATTTCTAATTGTCACACCTAGAGCTTGTTGCGTTCATTTGAAAAAGAATTAAATAAAATCTTTTGAAATAAAATTCAACTGGATGAAGCTTAAATATTTTTATTTGTATCAATAATTAACATGTTGTCCTGTTCATTATTTGACAACCTTAATCGACATTGAATCTAGCAAAATAATCAAAATTGTAAAACAATATTACATTTCACTATATATTTACATTCGGATAAATAATATTAATTGGGACCGCAAGATTGCATGAGACCAGCATCGCACATAATTTTAAGCTGCTTTTCTGCATCATATGTTCTGTAAAAAATATATTTGATTATTTAAGTTTTCCTTTGTAAAACAAATATTATCAAAATCACTTGTAGTAGAACTCACTTATAAAAATCAGCATATGCTTTTTTCCTAGGAGCCATGACTAGACCATACCACAAAACTCCAGAAAGAGCTGTTACTGCGACAGCTCCGACCAAACTGGCCTTAATTTTGGCTTCCAAAAGTCGTTTCAATTGGGGCTTTGGAATCGCACCAGCCATCTATAAAAAATTAATAATCATTGCTCTTTCAATATTTTGTCAGAAAAAAACCAATATTATATTCTGGCACTAATATTATTTAACCACTCAAGTAAATACATATATACGTAATATATATAGTCAAGATCAATAAAAATGCTCAACTTTTGAAGAATATACACCAAGTACTTTATACAAAACTTCAGTTTCTTCGTGTCAAGAAAACAACGAAACACTCAAACATGAAATAATAACTAACTGACATTGTGAAACATTATGAATGTTTCCAAAAAAAAAACCTCAAAAATGTATACAAGTTACGTAATAATTTATCCGTGCCATGTTGATAGTCTTTATGTAGATGAGTCAAAACGACAGTATAAAAGTATAAAATGTTTATAAACCTACCTTTAATTCCTTTTTGATAATCAAACACAAAAATTTTCGACGATGAAAAATCTACTGTGCAGAAGGCAGACAGTATATACTATAGATAATAATTGAGAATACAGACTACAGCTGACACACTTGAAGTTGCTCGAAATTGAGGTTAGACGGATTCGATACATCGATATTCGATACTCTCGAAAGAAAAGATGTCAGTATGAATTAAGAGATAAAAATTAATTTTTAGTTTTTAAGGAAATAGTCAATTTTTTAACAGTTTAAATAATTTTCACCATATTATTTTAAAACTTTTTTTATTTTAAAACTAATATTATTTTTTTTATTAAAAATAAATTAGACGTTCAATCACAATTTTAGCTTGAAAAAGAGCACGATTTATAGTTTCAAATGTTGTTTTACTAGTGCATTATTGTATCATCCAACTCAACAATTTAGACTGCTCGAAATCAATTCAATACTTCATTTACGATAGATTACAATAGACCTTGAAAATTAAAGAAAAAACTAACAACAACTTATGGTATATATAATAAATAATTTATTATTATAAAATTTACAGTATCTTATTAATTATTAAATATCATATAAATAATTCTACAAATTTTACATGAATGATGTTTTTGTAGTTCTGTTACAAAGAAACTAAAAAATAAGTTTTTAATCAATCCAAATACTAGATTTTTCATTAGCTGCTGCTTGATTTTCTCTTCTAATTTTAGATGATATTGTTGATTTCTTCAAGTTTTTCTTGATCAAGTCTTTCCTCATTTTCTTCTGTAAATCTCCTCTCACTCTCTGTTTGATTTCTTCTTGAGTAAGTTGGACTTTTTTACGATACCGTTTGGAAGTCTTTTTCTTTGTAGAAGTTTCAATTTTTTCATTCATTTCTTCACCAGAATTATCTTCTTCATTTGATTCATTACTATGATCTTCTTCACTTGATTGGTTATTATGATCTTCTTCATCTTTTAAATTTGTAGCATCAATATTTAAGCCCCCAATTTTTTTTTCTAAATCTTTTTCATCAATCACTCCATCTTTTTCTTGAGACTTTTCTGATGTTTCTTCATTTTCACTACAAGATTCTTCTTCACTGCTATCATTTTTATCCTCATTTTCCTCAATTTCTACCTCGGATAGATTTAAATTTAATTTTTCTTCCGCTTTGCATTCTTTTATCAACTCTTGGAATACTGGATACATTGTAGATTCGTAATCAAATCTTCTTCTAAAGAAATCTCGAACACCTTTGACATCTCTGTTGAAATACATTTCAGCTTCTTCGTTATCAATTGATATCATTTGTGGAAAATCAATCATAATTGGTTTCCCATCATCTGTGATCATTATATTAAATTCATTGAAGTCTCCATGAACGACACCACAATAAGCTAATTTACAAATGATTTTCATGAGGGCATCGTAAAGCTCGTCTTTATTTTCAACATCCTTTACATTACATAAAGGTACTCCCTCAATAAGTTCCATAATAATACAATGTCTATTATAATCTATAGGTTTTGGAACTGGAAATCCTCTATCATATAAAGCTGTCATGTACAAAAATTCTTTTGTAGCTGATACTCTTGAAAGGTATAACCAAGACATGTAACTTCTTTTTTCATGATAGTATCGTTTGTTTTTGACTTGCTTGAAACATGTTCTACCTAATCTATGAAGCTTTAAACAATAAATTTCATCGCTATCTTTTTTAGAAACTGTGTAAATGTTTGACTCTTTTCCAACGCCAATTTGAGTACCAAACCTGTCTATGAGATCTCTTGCTGCCAATGCTTTCAAAGCTAAATAGTCGTAGCCCTTATTAGTTAGTCTATATCCTTCGTATCTTCTGTTACGTTCAAAGCACAATAGTTCATGTTTCACTAATTCGTGAAGAACTTTTATTAGTCCACCACGAGGAAGATTTGCTATTTGAGCGATCAAAGCCAAATTGACAAGTTCGTGATTTTTCATGCCCATTTCAATAGCTGTAAGCACTCGGAAATCTTCTCGAGATAAATATCTCATCATCTTCACGTCAAGCTTACCCATGATTGCTGAACAATTTTCTTCACTTTGTAGGAGTTAAATAGCCCTTTATGACCAAAAAAAACTGAATTATATTGTTTTAGTTTTAAGGCCGAACACGTGTTCTGTTTGATGTTCACAACTCGCAACTCGAACTGGTTTTAACTTGCATGGCCTGAAAAAAGGCTTTCTCTTTCCAGCGCCGGACCAACGCTGCTCGGCGAGATTGTGACAGTCACAGCTCCTTTAATATGAACTGACTGTCTTGAACGCTGCGCGGCTTATATGTTTTTACTTTTTACACAACTCTGTTAGGCTACGTTTTTTTCCCAGAGTATGAGGTATAGTGAAGTATACAGTTACAATAATAAAATTCAATGCTTTACATTTAAAATATGTTTTATTTTATTTTTTGAGCATTTAAACATCTTATTGAGATCTTTATTTTAGTCTTTACTGCATTATTAACATTAATTTTATTTTTTTCTGACTTATAAATATATATTGTTATATATCTTTATTCCATTTATTATTTTACACTAACTCACTATGTACAGTAAAAAATGTATTACAAATAATTATTACAAAACTGCTTATAATAATAAAAAATATGCAGGAGGAATCATCATTGATGTATCACTATCATGAGGTTTTAGATATAAATATTTTTAGTTAATTGGAATAAATTCAAACGCTACCTCTCAACTGTCTAGCAATTTTTCTAACAACACGTTGTCTGAGGATGTTTTCTCTCCAAAATACTGTAATACAAGATAAAATTGCTCCTACAAACGTAAAACTCTGAAACTTCCAAAATGTTCTTTCTTCGAGCCAGGCAACTTTGTCACAACTGAAGAAATAAAAGTAGTCAAAAGATGATGCATTGTCATATTGAAAACAAAAATTTGCTGTAAAACCCTTACCTTCTAGTAATTTTTTCACCAGATTTACATTCTATGATTTCCTTATATCTTGCTTTTGTGCAAACTCCTATACTTTGACTGGCTATTTCAAATGCAGAACAAGGATGACATTCTGATATTATTTTAAACTCTTCTCCTGCTTGACAGGTTGTGTTATCCTCAATATTGTCAACATATATTTTTCCTCCTGGACTTTCTGTCCAATGACTTTCAACAATTAAAACCAAAACTGTCAATCTACAAAAAATGAAGCTCCATTAATTTAAATGAAATTATAACTTAATAATAGAAAAATTAAAAAAAGTGACTTACCCTCCTAAAAGAGTCATACTCAACAGCATGCGTTTTTTTGAACAAGATTCTATCATGGTGACTGTGTGATTTCATCGACATTGACTGAAAAAAGAATGAAAAAAGTACTTTTTAAGCAAATTGAATAATCTGTAATTTCTCACAACAAAAATAGAATAGGTTATGATTGACAATAAAAAATCATTAAATTCATGAGCTACAATACATATTTTCTATTTCATTTAAAAAAAAGATACACGACTAAGTGAAATTTGTGTAGGTATTGAGTATTTTCACAAATAGAGATCTTTAAATCGCGTGTTATTGTTTTGGAAGATACACTGGTTCAACGAAGCATAAGCTGATTGTTACCTGGGCTAAAATTGACGTCGAGTTTAAATAAACTTGGTACTTTTGTTTTTCATAAAAAAACCATACAACCAATGGAACAATTAGTTGACGTTCCTGTGTTTGTTTAGAATCGTACGAATAGGTATAACCAGCTCAGACGTTTGACGTTTCCAGGTGGATTCACGAGCAGACAGAAACGCAATGTACACAGACTTCGCACACACACACACTTATCACACGTATGCGAATCAATGAGCGCGAGAGATCTGCATATTGGACTTTGGACTTTCAACGCAGACTGAGCTGTTTGTCAGCGTGGCTATATCCACTGCTGCAGTTGAATACATGCAAAAAATTCGCTGGACGGCACAATGCACATCGAAGTCCATCCAAACTGCGACTAATTTCTGCGCTACCGATCTGTGGTATTATTACCCATAAATTGGTGCAGCCATGGTACTGCAGATTGAGATCTGCTGCTGCAGTCTTCGCGGTGGTCATATAATATAACAAATGTCAGGACGCGCGTGCAAGCTTGAATCGAGATCCAGTCGAGCGCTTTTATTCATACCGACAGACGACGCGAGCTTCCATGCGTATAATTGTGAAAAATAGCCGGAACGAGGCCGTGACGTAAGGAAATTTAATTGATATGATATTGTCCATATAATATATGAAATCATTCGAATCTTGATCTATTGTCATTCCCGTCACGCAAACATCGCGTCCAAGCATTTGAAAATGATTGAATAACAAAAGCTCGTTGACAGATATGTAACAATTGTACAGCCTAGTACCCGACACATAAGGTAGATGTTCACCTTCGGCACATTTTTTATTAGTCGAGCCTCGAGTAATGTAAAAAGAAAAGATGAGGAAAGAAAGTGTATCGAGGCAAAAAGTCTCGAACGAGTTTAATTTGTGTCACGTGTCATGCGTAATAATAATAATGTGTTTACGCCTTATACACACCTTACACGTATGTCGTAGCCAAGTATAATACGCGTATGTGCTGTGCATTATAATTTGACCAATGATATGTGTTGAGACACTGATAAGAGCGACTCGACGATGCGGCATTATAGTCGTCCTCCATATCTTGAATACTGTCTTACAGTCAGTTGTATATAAGTGTACGAGCGCCTTAGTATATGCTCAGCTCCAAAATTATAAGGTGCATTATTTGCATTAGCATAATATCCTATCGCACGTACACATACAGCAGACGCACGCGCAGCGCAAGTCGAGTGGTCACTTCGGAGCGCGAGAGAAGAGCGGCGACACGGCGGCGGCGGCGGCTACACATAACATAACGTGTGCAAAACACACACATTACACATCTATACTCATATCGTGCATGTGAACGCGTGTGTATACAGACGTGTACTATTATACTCATAGGCAGAGTTGCATTCAAGCTGCACATCGGGCTGCGCGCGGCCTTATGCACGCTGCTGCACTGCAGTATTATTTGTACGCTGCGCTGTGCTGCTGCACTTCGATGCCTATTGTGCACAGGGGGGACTTTTGAGACATTTTGACGCGTGTGTATGTGTATACAGTTGGCGTTTTAAAACTCAAACGCGAGACTGCTGCACAGAGTCCGCGCCAGCAGCAGTGGTGCGATATTATTGTGCTTTTTTCTTACCTACACCACGTTATATGCTGCGCGATAATATGACAGCAGCAGCGGCCAAGACTCCTCGGCTGTTTCGCGATAAAACCGAGAACTCGTTATTATAGTGCGCGACGACTGTGTGTCATGTGTGCTGTTGCTGCAGTTCTTCTCGGGATTATGAGCTGCTGCGCGTAACCACCAGCTGTCTGGCCCGGGTTTACGACGCTCCAACACGCCCCAGGAGAAAATGGCAAAGATCTTCGCTCCAGCAGAAGCCAATTTACGTTCGAACTCCGACAGCCTTGCCAATTACTCACTGCCCTGCGAGTACTGCGCTAACCTTACCTTTAAGCATATTCACGATTTCATCAGGTATTTACTATTGTACTATTTACATCTTGAATGCGTCTCTCTCTCGCTTGCTCTCGTTTCTATTTGATTACATACTTCATTAGCCTATTTGCATCGACTTAACTCGTATTCTTTTTCTGCATTTATATAATCCTTTGAGTAAAGTTTACATTGACGCACCAACTGTTGTTTATTTATGCAATTTATTTAAACTCGTTGCAGACACTTGAGAGAAAAGCATTGCAGTCAGGAAGGTGGTTCCTTCGTCTGCCGTTATGGTTACAACCAGGTCTGCTCCAGTTTGCCAGTCGAAGGTGTATCCGACAAAGATTATATAGCTCATGCTGCTAAACACGCTGCTAATATGCAGCAACAGCAGCAGCTCAAAAAGAGTAATGGCCAGATGCTTGTGGCTACCTCCGGTGCTGCATCTTCCACTGGTAGTGCCTCAACTTCTTGGTCAGTTTATTCTGCTGCTCAAAATTTACCCGCTGTTCTCAATGATCCCTACAAGGGTAAACAGAGTAATTTTCTTACCAAAACCTGGGGTGATTCTTTCATTGAAAAAACAGATATACCTAAAAGCCTTTATATACCAGAAATCAATGAACATCACTTTGATTCTTACAGAAAAAGAATCATCAAAGTAAGTGTTTTCATTATGTAATCAAGTTATTAATACAATTGAGATTGATCTATCTGTATTTTGTTTTTGCAGAGATACGATAAACATCTGCGTTTAAAAGCTAACACAAATTTGCCACCAAACACATCTATTGAATTACTACATCATTTTCCTAATCTTAGAAAAGTCAAATCATTAGGGTCTACAAACAATGGACCTATAGGTAATACTTAATTTATACATTAATATCTATTAAATTGATAAATCATCTAGTAAATGAAATATTATTTACAGATCATTCTCAGTTTGACTTTAATAGTATTCCAAGAATATTTATCAATCCTCATCTGGACCTATCAAAAAGGCAAAACTTTGATGAGGTGTTTCCTTTTTCAAAAGAAGGATTACTTGGTGATGGAAAAAATATTGTTTTTAATGTTAAGCAGATGCAAGAGAAGGTTTTTATAATTTTATTTCTATTTGTCATTGTAATTCCATTGATTATTATTATCTAATTATATTAAAAAATTTTTTGCAGCTAACACATTATTTGGATATAGTAGAAGTAAGAATAGCTGAGCAAGTAGCATCAAAATCTCAAGCATTTTTTCATGCAATGACATCACATGATGTTCTAATGGAACAACTGACTGAAACTTTAACTGTTTTAAAAGCCTTACGTCAAAATATACATAGTATAGATAATAATATTGTAAAGAGCTCTTTACATGTATTCAAGTAAGTTTATCATTGATAAAACATTCATATTAAGACAAATTTAAATTTTAAAACTGAGCTCCTATTTTTCACAGGCTGGAAAGAGCCAGGTCTAATCATCTTTTGGTGCTAGAAAAATTGAAACTCATTGCGACAGTACATCAAAGTCAACCTATGATACAATCATTATTATCAACACCTGACTATGTTGCTGCCTTAGATGTTATATCAACTACACAAGAAATACTAGCTCAAGAATTAAAAGGAATTTATGGGTTTAGACACTTGAGTTCTCAATTAACAGAGATGGAAAAAGTTATTAACAAAATGTTGCATACTGAATTTGAAAGATATGCGACAGCGGATCTGAATAGACCATTGAACGGAGATTTTACCGTTTTAGATGGGGTAGGTCATTTTTTTGCTGTTTAAAAAAAATGTTTGATTTTTTTATTAAAATTACATTTTTCAACAGGATAAATTGGTATCAATTATCTCCGGCCTATTACGACAAAAACATTTTCAATTTATTGATAGTTATAAGGAAGAAGCAATGACGACAGTGAGAGCAATTACCAAACAGCGTATAATAGAGGCATTGGCCGACAGCGATTGCTGTAGTGATCAACAAGCAGCAGCACTTGAAGTCGGCGGTCTTTCTCTAACTGAGAGACTTAAACTTTTAGACAATTCAATACAGGCCTTGACTTCCCTTCTATACCGCATTAAGGTTGATAATAATTGGTTAATTAATTAATAACAAACGATCGAATATATTATAATAAAACTTTTGAAATTTTAGGCTGTCCATAATGTGATGAAAGATACAGCAAATTCGGCAGCTTGTAAATCATCGACCGATAGACCCAATGAATCGATGATGGATCGACTTTTAACAGACGACGATCACGAACGAGTTATAACAAAATTGAATGATATGCTCGCATCTTTGTGCGATTATTGTCACGAAAGATTGGGTAATTTAGTTTCTGCTAGTCCGAATGAAAATGAAAAAGAAAAGCTGTCAAATGACACGAATAGTTCTTCCAATAAATCTGCTGAAAAAGACGTAGCAGCATCTGCAACTGAAAATTTTAGTGATAACAATAAATCATGGTTGAGTGATAGAGCAACAATGAATCAAGTATGTAAATTAGCTAATTTAGTGGAAAAATTCACAGAAACTTGTGAAACTTTGTGTGGTAAGCAGTGCCTAGCATTGCGATCTGCTTTTAAGGTAAGTGATACATTTTTATTACTCTTAAAATAAGTAGTAAGCTCGGTTAAAAACGTATTAATTATTTCATAGGCACAAGCAAGTAAATTTGTGCAGAAATTCCATTCTGAGAGGAAAATTAAATTAAGTCACGTTCTCGACTCAGAAAGATGGAAACAAGCCGAAGTGCCTCCAGAGTTTCAAGCTTTGATAACTTATATACACCAAAATGAATCTTTTCCTTACGAACTATCGCAAACTAATGTCATTAGAACTAACAAAATTGAAAATTTCATGTACGTCGGAAACGAAAAATTTGCCATCGTTGGAACAGTTTTGTTACTGATTCAAATCATTCATGAGTACTGCAGGTTTGTTAAATTAAATATTTTAATCATTGTGAGTAGTTGATGAATCAGTAAATTTTTTATTATTATCGTAATTCAGAACGGCGAGTGAATTGACAGCCTTGTCGGGAATGTTGGGAAGAAATTTGGCTGAGATACTGCGGCATTACAACTCTCGTTGTTGCCAACTTGTATTATACGCTGGAGCTATGCAAGTCGCTGGTCTTAAAACTATCACTAGTACGATATTGGTCTTGGCTGGACGAAGTTTAAAATTAATTTTGTGGATTATGCCTTATGTGAAGGCTCACTTTCAAGGTATTAATTTATCGATTTTTTTCAACATCGTTGAATGGGTTAGATTAATTTGAAGAATTTTCTCAGCTTTAGCAGAGCATCAACCAAACGTTCCAGGCATGCCTCATGCTAATGGAGTTTCACTGCTGGATACTGTAGAAAGAGATATACGTTCTCACATCCAAGAAATCGAGGGTAAAATTTTAACGATAGTGGATAGCTTATTAGCTGGACAGATATCAACGTGGACTGGGAAGCCTCCGGTTCCATCACAATCGTTTAGAAATATATCTAAGTCAGTAGATCTACTAATTTTTTCATTTCTAAGCATTTGATTCATTTAGACGATTGAAACGAAAATGTTATTTTTTTCCAGACACCTGACGAAACTCTTCGAGGCTGTTTCGAGTATTCTACCAGCTGAGGAGGTGCAATCGCTTTATCGAATGGTCAACAAAGCTTTCAAAGAAAAATTGCGTGAGCAGCTGCTAAAAAAAAATATTACGAACGATGGTGGTCCTCAACATGGTGTTGTGACTTCGGAGCTAACGTTTTATCTCGAGACGTTGCGAAATCTCAAAGTTCTGCCGGTCGAAGAATTGAATAACAACTGTCTGAACGATGTGTGGACAAAATAACACGCAGAGTTAGTGGTTTACTGTGCAATGAGTTCAATGAAGGCTCGATCGGTCAGATGACTGCAATTGTATATATCATAGAGCCTTATCAAGTGTGAAAAAAATTGTACAAAAAAGTGAATTTTAAATTCAATTTGCTAATGTATATAGTGTAATGATGGTATGCTCAAAAGTTTTCAAAGTTCTGAAGTAGTGTAATAAGATTGAATGCGGACACGCGAGAAAAAAATAATGCATAAGGAGTATAAGTATTGATAGTTGGACCAAGAATGGCTGCTTTAATTGATTCTCAAGCATGTTGATATTGTTGAGAATTATTCACTGCCATTGAAATCTCACGATTTTTTATTGATTATTTTAGCTGCAATATTTAGCATGTACGTTATAATTTTTGTCCATTACTTTAATTCTACGCATACAAGTGAGAATGAGGCGGTAGGGTGATTTTAAAGCTTTCTCTAGTCTGCGCTGTAAAAATTTACTTTTAAAAATTAGCGAAACATGCAGATGTAATAATAAAAGTGCTATTGAAGAAAATTCGCAAGATGCGTGGCAATCAACCGAGATCTGCCTTTACTTAAATAGCAAGTAAACATTGATTTTTACAAAACATCACAACCGACGGATTCATCACAAAGACTGATAACTTCTAAATGCAGTGTGCAGTGCTTATTTATCAAAACCGCTCCATCGAATTGAAAACAAAACGAACGAATGATCGTTGTTGCTATGCATCAAATTATGATTCCGTTTTTTATTGTAATAATATTAAGCACCGCACGCGATTTGTTAAATCAATTTTCAAGTATTTTTCACCTTGGTATCCGAATTGTTTCGAATTCTCTCACGCAATGAAAAATTCTAGTCCAGTGTAATCCACGTGCATTAAGATTTATTCAATCTCATCGAAATTTGTAAAATCTTTGAGCTGTATAATAATTTTATTGTAGATAATGGAGGAAATGTGTCTGTGTGTGTATCCTCGAAGCACCATTGCAATTCCAATTTCGAGGATTCACGATGATTTGTAAATTACGCATAGCGAGTAGATGTATTCAACGAACGTCGTCGCCATGACGATGACATTTCAAAACACGCGCGCGCGTCTAGTGATATTATACAGTGTTATATAGACAACAGTCACTTCGGTATATTAGTACAGTGTAGATATTTTTCATCGCGCACACACACTTTTGTTATGTTATTTACGGACGACCGAAAATGACAGGCAAAGCGGCGTAAGTATTTCGAATGCGCGACTTATGTGAACCGAGAGGCATTTTGAAAGTGTCCAAGTAGTACCTACGCAAAGATATTATTTCAATGTTGTATACATATGTAGAGTTATTACTATATTGTAAAAAAAAATAATAGAAGTTTTATTGCATCGGGGCTTTCGTTCTCAGATAATATTATACATTTTCATTCTCTTTCACTTTGTTAGAAAAAATTGGAAATTATCATTCCACTAATTTGACTAATGCTGTGCGACGAACGAATGAATAAATAATTAATATCTGTGAAAATTCTCTCTGTTTTTATTCTCGTACGATATCCCATCGATATTTCATCATCCTTTGACTGTCCAGCAGTAACAAAGAGACGAAAGAGAACGCGAGGGACGTGGCCCTGCGACTGGCCACGCAGGAGGAAAAGCGTCGGAAAAGCGACCCGCACGAGAGTCGCGAGAAGTCGCTCATCGTGCTCGGCAGTCGAGAAGTGGTGAGTTAGTTGCCGTAGTTGCAAAAAAAGTTTTTCCTTCTAACGAGCTGTATTATTGACACCATCCCCCTCGTTACTGCGCGTCGCAAGGGAAAAACAACGATGATTTATCGCTTCTTGGAGAAAGAGGACACGCCGAAGCCGACCCTAGCCATGGATTACGCTTACGGGAGGAAGGCGGGTAAAAATCTAGTGAGTGTATATCAGATGACACGCTCGATCGTCGGCAAAAAAAGCCTCGTTACAACGCAATTGTCTCTCTCTTTCGCACACGTCGTCAGGTGAAGGACATCGTCCACGTGTGGGAGATCGGACACTTGACGCCGTCCCTCGTGTCGGCTGCGATGAAGGGCTGCTGCCTCAGTCACTCGCCCCATCACACCACGGTGCTCCTCGTGCTGGACCTCGGCAAGCCCGAGACCCTGTGGAACACCCTGGAGGACTGCCTCGAGGCGCTCCAAAAAGGCATGGAAATGAGCTACCCCAGGGAGCTGATCGAGCAAGTGCTGAACGAAAAATTGCGCGGTTTGGCGGAGCGCAGCGGCGGCCAACAGCAATCGCCGCAACAGGCGGTGGACGAGATGAGCGAGCCGTTCCCGCTGAGGCTGTGCCTCGTCGGCGGCAGGTACGACGAGTTTCGCGGCACCGACGCCGACGATCGCGAGTTCATGGGTCGGGCGTTGCGCGCCGCGGCCCACGCGCTCGCCGCCAGTCTGCACTATCACTCGGCCAAGGACGCCCAGTTGCTGCGGAGGAGCAAGGACATGCTGTCGAATTACGGATTCAAAGGTCAGAGCCCGTAAGTACACACAAACACGAGCCTACGATGATAATATATAAGAGAGGATTTATCGAGGTCCTCCCCGACGCGGGTAAATTAATTTTTTGTCTGCCGTGCTTTGGCCGCAGTAAAACGACGGTGATCGATCACGAGAAGCCGCTGTCGGTGGCGGCCGGTGCCGACTCGTTCGCCTCGATCGAGCTGTACGATCGACCGGCGGCGACTGCGGCCCTGAGCCTCGAGGAGATCAAGAGGATCTACGTGACGCGATTCCCCCAGAGAGCCCGAGACCAGGAGGACCAGCGAACGAGCAGCGACGGTGCCAACTACGATCGCGACGACGACCTCGAGCATTTGGCCAACGACGAGAGCTTCGCCGAGCCGATCATCGATAGGCTGGTGCTGCAGAGAGAGGAGGTAACGTTCGGCTTTTTGTACACGAGACTATTTTTGGCGATTGAATAATGTTATGTTTTGTGTATCGACTCGCAGGAGATAAGCGTCTTGATGCACGACATGCAGGAGACACCGACGACCAACATCCCGATTCCCGATCCATACTGAGCATCGCACCTTGTTCCTATATAAAAATGTACGAGCTGCAGATGTCGTCAATAAAATTTTTACTGTTTCAATATGCATAAGAGAGTCATTTAAATGATAATGAGTTCTGCGAATAAAAAGCACGAAAGAAGTAACTAATGAAAATTTTTAATTTCTCGAGAGACCCGACTGACGGACGGTGAGTGCTAATCACGTTTTAAAGTTGATCCGCGCAAGGACTCTCTAGAAAGTCCGATCGTGTCATGTAAGAGTCTAAAAATATATCAAATGCATCGCACACAAGGAGGAGGACGTCTGCATCCTCGCACCTTCTCTCTGCGCGAGCAAAGCTCGATCGCGCGCGACACCAGCTGCAGCAGTGTCAGTAGTCAAGCTCGGAGAATTACACTTACTATGTATCTGTGTGCGCACACACTCACGGCAGGAGGGAGGATTGATGAAACTTATAAAGGTCTAAGCCGAGCAAAGAAAGGACTGCACAAAGGTGCGCGCGTCAGCTCGTCAAGGAAGTGTCACCCGCGTACAGTACGGAAGTGCGCGGAATAGATACATAGGGATCGCAGGATCGAGTGCGTAGGTGGGTATCCATACAAAAGGCAGTGCTTCGACGAGGCAACGATATATATATATAATGATATCGGCGCGAGGAGGATAACGTACACGACGTATATTCATAATACTACTGTACGTATATATGAAAATAAATAAATATAGCGGACGCTTGCGCGAACGCATGCGCTCGGTGGTCCCCCGCTGAGAGAGAGAGAGAGTAGCTGCCAGTCACAGTGTGATACTATACACAGCGACTATCCATCGGTGCTGGACTTTGAGCTCTAGGCTCTAGGCCTCGGCTCAGTATCAGTGTTTGCCTCTGCGATAGAGGCTACGTTATCCTTTCTCGTTGATATAGTGTCGCGCGCCCCGTGACCAAGGAAAATATGCTACTGCTTTAGTGAGATACAATTTTCACGAGTTCGAGTTATAAATATAACATATAAATGCCAGGCGTGTGACACAGTTGGAATAAATTTGAACGCAAAAAAAGATGAAGCGAGATCAGGATTGCTACTGCAAGCGCGACTACTGCTACCCGACGATCAGCTTCGACGGCTGCCTCGGCCAAGCCAGCAACTGATCCCCGACGTCAGGTGAGCTAGCTAGATTGCGGAGCTTTTCAGGTGTGTGTGCGAGTGCGAGTGCAAGAGCGTGGTGCGCTGGTGCGATCGATTACGCGCGCAGGAGGATGAGACGAGGGGCCGGGTCGTACTACTATTACTACCACTGCTGCTGCTGCCGCTGCACACTTGCATTATCCTCGACAATTATGCTGGATGATTAATAAGTTAATTACGCTACCCGTGAGCTTTTTTGAACGCAGGTTACCTGCTGATCCTGGCCGAGGATCTTTCGCGCCACAGACCACAAGCGTGACGCAATTGTGTCGTACATACTACACTATATATAATATTATGACTAGTGTGTAACGATGACTTTCGTTTAAAGGGCCGAATAATATGTATAAATAATAGATGTATCGTTTGCGCTTGACCTTGATCGCTTCGTGCGCGCGCCAGAAACCGTGTGTCTGTAAATGTGTCTCGACGTTTTCTCCACTTCTCTTTTCTCTATCTCTAACAATCGCGTTCATTCATTATTAAGTCGTCCAAAAAAAGAGCCGCCGACTGACAATTAGCACCTCGATATCCTTTCAGCGAGGCTCCGCGTATTGCTCTTCCTTGGATATAATTCGCGAGCGAATGTGTGCGATATCATACCTGTCTCTATTACAAAACGAGAGAGCGAGAGAGAGTCAAGAGCGCCACGAAGTTTACAACAGAGAGGATCAAAAGACACGCTTGAAAGCCGTTCCGTTACGTTGTAATAATAATGTCTATATGTATATTATAGCTGTAACGACGACGACGAGTAAATACGCCAAATTTTCCGCGCTCTGCCGAAACTCCATACGCATATAGCAAACTCGCGATGCGATTTTCCTTTTTTTTCTACTCGAACTCGACGCATAGTAGCAGTATAGTAGACAATTATCGTGCGCGCTTTCGTAGGAATATGAGCGAGCGCGGCCACACTCGACTGGCTTTTTTAAGAAACGGCAAAGTGCCTCTCTATATTGTGTCTGTGCGTCGTGTGCGCGCACGCGAGCAGGCATTATTATACGTATATGCAGTTATATACGTATAGTAAAGTTCATCGTGTATGTGATATCGAATGCGCGCACAATGCGAACCTGTACACGGTGTGTGGACTGTTACGAAGATAGAGAGCTGCGAGTAATTCAAGCAGACATTTCCATGCACACACGTGCTTTTCGTATATGAAAACATCGAGCGACGATTTACCCGTGACTCGTCTCGCTTGTCTGTATGCGTTGTGTTTGTATTTGTATTTCTGACGCGTTTGTGTGCGACTAAATAGAGCGTGTATATATCTACTCCTTCGAGAATTATTGTGCGTATGTATGTGTCTGGCGTAGCAGATAAAACAACGGCATATTCTTTTAGCCGTATCTTCTTCTGTGCAATAATTTACATAAATTAACAGATGCATTTTTTGGAGCTGTCGCGTCGGCTATAAGGCGACTATGACCTAATGAACGGAAAGGCATGTCGCTGTCAAAATAACAAACAAATAATAAAATAATATGAGTAAGCGCCCTGACTCAAGCTCGACGACAAAAAAGAAAAAATAATTTGAATCTCCAGGATGATTTCGTCGATATTATTATTGAATCGATTGACATCATCGATGGCAATTTCCGTACGCGTCAACCCAGGCAGACGCCTCGTGTCCCCGAGAAAATGCGATTTCTCATCCGATGTTCGTCACCCTTTTTTCTTTCCTCGAGACAACTTCTTTTTTTTGCGGCTTTATACTTCGATCGAGACGCGCATAGAACTTGGACAATTCGATAAGCAACGACGGGGGAAGAAGAAATCGGTAAACTAAATTTCCTCGATCGAATCTTCTCAATTGGTTACCTAATAAAGTTTTTTCTTGCCTTACTTTTTTATTTGAGAAAAAATGTCTTACTTTCTTGCTCGACATTCCATCCTGTACGCGACAACTCGACTACATACTCGATTCGATCGAACTTTGTTCGCGAGCTTGCGTGATCCAAAGCCATCGGATACACACTACATCCACGCTATAGGCTGCTGCTGATGCGGGCAGCCGATCGTCGATTGTTTAAACATCTCTGCTCTATTCGCGAGTTTCCTCGGATGCACACCAGGCCGCGCCCGGCCTTAAAAACCAACGTTCGATTTTTCCCTATAAACAAATTGTCGCCGGGAATGCAGAAAAGGAGGCGAGCCAGCTGCGACGAGTCATAACTTACTTGGCGTGGAGGAGTGCCGCGATCAAGAAGGCGGCTCCTTCTGGGCGAGACCGGGCCATTGCACTTGGCGGTCCGGTTGAGCCTTGCGGCTACCCCTAAAGCGGGCAGCCGAGCGCATAATTTTTGGTAGTCGGGATGTGCGTTCGCGCTATTCCCGGATAAGCTCAAGTCGAAAAATAAATCTCTCTCCTCTCGAGGCTAACCTATTTCTCGCGGCCGCGTTTGAGGTTTGTTTGTTTTGTCAGTTGGGGTTGGATGGAGGTTATTCGCGATGGAAATTCTCAACTGTGAAATGTTTTTCGCCGTCGTCGATCGGATATATCAGTCGCTATGAACGAGGCACGCGTAAGTATATTCAACAGCTGATTGCCGATAATAAAAGTATTTACACTTTAACTCGCAGTCCATTTGGCAGCGAGGAGGACGAGGGCATTATCGTAGCCGTAAATTCATTCAACGGCACTTTGGTTACGACTTTTTTCCCGAGAGCGAGATATAAAAGAAAAAAGAAACAAATTCCGGGAGCTCCGATGACGTCGTCCACATCGTGGGTTAAAAACGATCGATTATGTCGCGCGACGCGAACGCACACAACACATTATAATTCGCGATCGATCAAACTATAAGAAAGCGAGTAAAAAGCTCGTTGCAAAAAGAGATTTGCCCTGCGGTATATAAAGAAGTCTTGGCTGCCGCTCGCAACTTATAAGTGTGTTGTGTGTGTGTGTCGAGGTGGAGATATTGATCCATCCTCCTCCGGAGGCAGCGGCAGCGAAAGCAGCTTGCGTAGTTCGGTAGTAGGATAGAGGTTGTATAGGTGTAGGTAAAAGGTGAGCTGCTGCTACTGCGGCTGCTGCTGCTGCTGCTGTTTGCGCGAGCTTAGCAGATCGCGCGCCAGAGAGAGAGAGAGAAAAAGAGTTGGCCTGTGTGTGTACGTGCGGGCTTGTAGTTATGTACTTTGCGGAGAAGAGAGAAAAAGCACCGCCGCCACCTCACGCCGCCGCAACACCACTCGCATCGTGCCATTTTACGTATATTATTCGCTTTTAGGCTAACGCACGTACAAACACACGTATACGCATTTTTTCGAGGTCGTTCGATAGCCATTTGTTTCGTCCGAAAAATAAATAACGCTGGAGCCGAAGAAGAGGCGCGTGCGAAAGTTGAATAAAAATAAGCGAAAAACGAGCGATTACCTCTATCCTTGCCAAAACAGCTATACAAACTCAGACAAACAAGCAGCCCGAATCGCTGCATATTATCGCAACGATTAGCCGCGAGACGACCTCCAAACGTTGGCCTAGTCTTTCGAAGCTCTCTCGCGCGTAGACGTATATCACCGCGAGGAATTATCTTAAAACCAGACCAGATATTTTTTGCGAGAGGACGCGTGACGAATCATAAAGTACGTGTCTATATCCACCTTTTCTCGTGGATCGAGCTGCTCGAGCCGCTGTGCGGTGCAGCTTTTAGGAAAATCAGCTGACCGATCCCAAAATGCTCTCTCGGGTGCATAGTAGAAAATCGTGTAGGTACGTACGCGTAGCGAATTGGCAATTCTCGAAATCAGCACTATTGCTCTCTTGCAGCTTGCAGCAGTACAGCTACGAGCTTTTTTTTCATATCGTATCGATTTTTTACGCGCTCTCAGAGAAACACGTCGCCGCAATGTATACACACATACACACACACATACACATCTACCTGCATCGGACATAATTTTCTCCGCAGAGAAGATATTCAAGGTTTCACGATCTATTTCCAAAGAAAATAAACGCGCGCGGCTCGCTGCCGTTGTAGTTTTTCTCCATCGTCCATTTCATATTTGTATAGTAGTTGCAATTTTTCAATCCGAGCGCCTGTGTATAATACGTGATCCGAAAATCGCGGACGACTGGTGAGCGCAATTTTTGCAAACAACCCCGAGCCGTGTGCACGGCGTAGGTGCATAAATAAGCACGAGTCCATTCCGTCGAAAACAAGAAGAAGAAAGAAAGAAAGAAAGGCTTGTTGCGGCGGCAAACGAGGCCGCCGCGTGGGTGATTTTCATATCGATCGAAAAGTGCTAGTAGTCCGCGCGCCGTGTAGTTACATGTGCAGTACCGAAGTGTGCATCCTATACGTGCTCGGCGTACATAATAATCACGAATGCTGATCGCGTGGGCTTGCGATTCTAGAGCTGCCATGTATACGTACGTTGCAATCGCACATTTGTATAATGTAGTTTATACGGTGTACACGAGCCAAACACACACAGGTCAACCCGAGTACATATACGTTTTTTATCATAAAATCGACGAGCAAAAAATGCACTTAAAAGTGCTGCCCCCCACGAAAGCGATATAACTCCGTTTTCACGAGGCTCGGAGCTTTTCATCCGCCTCCGTTCTAATACGGGGCGCCGGCGGTGCAGTCGACAACACGTGCACACCTGCAGGCTCGTAACGCGATGCGGTATTTTCCAGGCGCGCGAGATCACGCGTCGCGTCCAAAGTATAGGCCGCCGCATACGGGCGCTTGATTAAAACACGTCGTCGCGTCGTTACGGGCTTTTTAATCAGCTCCGATCGAGATGCTTGCAAACTCATGCGCCGTGCGGAGAATCTGGTACGAAACCTGCTCACTTTTTCTCCGAAACACGAGCGTACCCGTCGAATCGCGGTGACACTGTTTAACCAAATCAACGTCTCTTATTAACATATAATCGGTTTATTGATCGGCAGAAAATTAATTATTCGCGCATGACTTGATTCACATATTTATATATTATATAATAGAGCAGAGCAACTATACGCGTGATTGATTAGCGGCTAATTAACGAGTCTATGTTATCCATCGTTCGGCAACACGTTCGTTCGTCACGCGAAACTCGGCAGCTTTCTGCTCAAGCACTCGGCGAGCTTGTTGAACAATTTTTTGCCCTCTTGCGCGACGACCAGCAGAGCTTTGTTCGAGACGCACAGCCCGAACACCTGCGGCAAATTCGGGATGTCGACGAGAAGCAGCGTGGCTAAGATATTGATGTTCCTCACCAATGTCGGAGCCTCGGTGATCTCCACGAAGCCTTTCTCGAGTTTGGCCTGATAATTTTATTTTCATCACTTTTTAAACTATGCATGCTAAAAATAGAGTATTTCGTTCTCACTTTGACGGTGCACAGCAGAGCTCGGCCGAAATTCTCGAATCTCGGATGCTTCCTCAGGCAGAATCTGCCGTCCTCCACGAAAATGCCCATAGATTCGACGGCCAGTCCCGTAGTGTTTGACGTTTCCACGATCGCGTGGCCCGTCTCGTCGATCTTGTCCGTGACGCATCGGCTGCCGTTGACGAAGACGTTGACCAGCGCCGACGCCAGGGTAGAACTGACGCTTGGTCGGCAATCCGAAGTCTTGAACACGCGAAAGATGGCTGCATTTTCCGGCGGATCTAGCAGTTGCTTGAACTGTGCGACGATGATTATACGATTTTTTTAGGGATTCAACCTTGTACCTTTTTTTCATTTACTCACGCTATTGTGAATACTCGTCAGTGCTGAATTTATTTCATTTTTTACCATGTCGGAGCTATTTTGTACCAAATTGGAAAAATTTTGCAACAAATTTCCAGTGTATATTAGCAGATTGGGTTCTTGCCGTGAACTTGACTGTCCATCGATGGGCAATATATTTGCAGTGAGCTAAAAATTCAAATTATTCAAATGATTTCACTCATCTTTCAAATTGTTCACCGATATAAAATTAATTTCAACTTACATGAATTAAAACAATGTAGCATAAACACAAAACAAGATTCATTGTTACGGAAAAAATCTGCAATAATTCAACAAATTACGTTTGTTCAAATAATAGTAATTCAATGATTTTCTCGACACGAGCACATTTTATCGCTTGAAAGTAAATATTTAACAAATATTCGTTAGGTAATAATGCCGATTGTACATTTGTTTCACCTCAAAAATTTGAATTAAATACCAGGAGAAGCGATTCCGTGCAAAATGAAGTGGAATTTATCGGTTAATAGTCTTTTGTAAGACTTGAATTAAAAATTGTTAAATTTACAGATAACCCACTGATACAGTTCGATAATTTGATAAGTGAACTAAACGTAGAATGAAACAAAAATCAATCAGAAAAAACCAAATACATTCACTGCCTTAAAAAATACGACTGCACTATGGAATGTAATACCAATAAGCACTTGAAAAGCGTCAAGACGTAAAAATGCAATAAAAAACCCCTCTTCGGTAGAAATGGAAAAAGAGTATAGACTTTGAATGAAAAAAGATTGGTTGTCACGACATATTCATATGTGTAATTTATATACTTTATTTATTTCAACGATCTAATACACTTTGACTATATAACCTGCAGGCGAATGGCATGAGTATAAATAGGCTAAAATCATCCTTTCAGAAAAATTTCCAGGTAGACTATTATTATACCTCGACCTTGAGGCGATCCCCACCTCTAGCTGCCTCCAGGTTAATAAATGATTAACAATTGCAATCGATATTTTTATCTTAAAATAAATTGAAAATTGATAGATTTTTAGAGTTTGATGATTATAAAAATGATTTTAGCAATATTAATTTTGATACATTAAAGTCAATCAATACTCTAGTTATTAATTTAATAAAAATTAGTACAACATCGAGTGCAAATTAAAAGCGAAAATTGTGAGAACAGTTTTCATGTATGACAACAATTTTCAATTAATACAATATAAAATTCTAAAAAATACTGGTTTTAAAAGTAATTTGTACATTTTAATCCTCCTCCTCGCAATCTTCATCTTCGTGTCCTCTTATATTATCGATGATTGCAGTAGTTTCTTCAACTATTTCTTCAATTTCTTCGATTCTTTCTTCTTCACATTCTACCTCTTCATCGGTACGATTCTCTATTGATGTATAATCATCATTTGATTCTGTAACGGATTCTTCATCATTTGACTCTGTAACGGATTCCTCATCTTTTTCTTCTTCACAGTCATCTTCGGATTTTCTTTGCTCTTCATCAGGTACGACTTTACGGTGATCTTCATCTTCAATGAGACTTGTTTCTTTATCTTCAATTACAACTTTAGTAGCATGATCGGCTAGCTCGACGATTTTTTCCATTTCGGGTTTAGATTCATTTTCATTTTTTTCTGTCGAAGTTTCCGTCGATACTTCAGTTACATTTTCTTCATGATTTTCATATACATGATCATCATATTGTTTCTCCGTCACAGCTTCAGTTGAAGACTCGGACTTTTCGCTTTTGATTGTGGTTTCGCTTTCGTAAATTACTTCCTGCGTTGTCAATAAATCTGCAGTAGTTTCTTCAGTGACTGGAGATGTCTCTGAGTTGTTCTCAACTAATTTTTCAGACTTTTTCACTATTCCATCTACAAAATCTTTTTCCATTGAGAAATCATTCACAACAGTTTCAGATGAATGATCAAGATTTTGTTTTTTCGTCACCGCTTCTGTTGAAATTTCGGGTTGTACAGTTGTGGTTGTGGTTTCACTTTGGTAAATTACTTCCTGCGTTGTAAGCAACTCGGTGGTGGTTTCTTCTGGGGCTAGAGTTGTCTCTAAATCGTGTTCGAATAATTCACCTTCATTTTGTACTTCTGGCACAGCTTCGGTCGAATACTCGATTGAGCTTTCAGTTTCGTGATGAACTTCCTGCGTTGTAAGCAACTCTGTGGTGGTTTCTTCGGGGGCTAGCGTGGTGCCTGGGGTAAGTTCTTCGATGTCAGAAATGACTTCTACTTCTTTTTCTAATTCTTCATAATCTCTGCTTTCTAAATCAAAAGTCTCTTCTGTTACAGGACTTTCAGTTGAAGTGCTTGGTGTGGTTGCCTCAGTGGTACTTAGGGTAGTTGCTTCAGTGGTACTTGGTGTAGTGGCCTCAGTTGTACTTGGGGTAGTGGCCTCAGTTGTGCTTGGGGTAGTTGCCTCAGTTGTGCTAGGAGTAGTGGCCTCAGTTGTGCTTGGGGTAGTTGCCTCAGTGGTACTTAGGGTAGTTGCTTCAGTGGTACTTGGTGTAGTGGCCTCAGTTGTACTTGGGGTAGTGGCCTCAGTTGTGCTTGGGGTAGTTGCCTCAGTTGTGCTAGGAGTAGTGGCCTCAGTTGTGCTTGGGGTAGTTGCCTCAGTTGTGCTAGGAGTAGTGACCTCAGTTGTGCTTGGGGCAGTTGCCTCAGTGGTACTAGGAGTAGTGGCCTCAGTTGTACTTGGGGTAGTGGCCTCAGTGGTACTTGGGGTAGTTGCCTCAGTGGTACTAGGAGTAGTGGCCTCAGTCGTGGTAGTAGCTTTAGTTGTTGTTGTAAGAAGAGGCGCATTTCTTATGCACCTTCTTATGGCCGTACTACTTCTTCCTGACTTCATAGTCAATTGCGTTATCCAATCGCTAGGGACACAATTCGGCATCACTCCAGGAAGCAAGTACGACATACTCTTAGCGTAACCCAGATTGAACACGACAGCTGGAATTTTTTTCGACACAACCCAAGTTGCTTTGGTTCGAGCCTGTAAAAATTTTTTTAAAAATTATCTCTGAATCCGATAAAATACCTTCTCAATAGAGTCGAGCAAAGAAAATTACCTGAGCAATGCATTTGAGACCCGTGGGCAACATGAGAACACCGCTCGCTTCTTTCACGCACTTTTGACCTTCCTCGTTGATCTCGTTGAGGTTCTCCAAAGTTAGTTTCACATCCTTTCTTATAGATTCAAAAGAGTCATCGACGAACGTAAATTTCTTTTGCAAACAAAAGTCCAGCATACGTTCAATCTCCTCGGATTCATGGATTATGTCTATGATCATTTTTTCGCAAGCCTTAACATCCTTTTTATCTGCGAGGGTTTGCAAATAACGCAGACGAGCCCGTGGCTACCATTGACAGAATAAAATATATATCCCAGAATTAAAATCGATACGATAATAATAAAAAAAAAAAAAATTTTATACTCTACTTACTACCTCGGTTAGGACAGCCAGACGCCTCGCAGCGTTGGCCTTAACTTCCGCGGACGCGTTTCTCAACTGCGCATTGATATCGTCCGAAATCTCCTGTACGGTTACCGTGTAGTTCTGCAGCTTCTCCATGGACTCCTGGACCATTTGTTGCACGCCGTTCTGGGCACGCTCGAGCTTCTCGAGCATGCTGTCGTACGTGGGAAAGCCAATCCATTCGGACCAGAATCCATGGGCCGACTGGATCTACGATGGACAATGTCACAAAATTATTTCACTTTGTAAAAAAAAAAAAAACGAAAAGAAAAGAAGGAAAAACAAAGTATAACAATCGCCAACTTACGTAGAACACGTTGGCAAGTAAGAAGAGCGCGAAGAGCCTCATGTTGGCTTGTTATTTTGACTGATTATTCGCGGGGAACTAAATATACATTTATACCTTTTTTCAATCGAATTGCCGAATCGATGTTCATCGTGTAATAGCAATCATTTTTCAGTGAAGCGAACCACAAACAGCTGTGCATTCACTAATTACATTCACATATTTCTGACCCAAATATCACGGGCGAACTAAAAACGCATATCAAAGTGGCTAGAAAATTCAATTAGCGCCTACAAAAGTTGTAATAGCGCGTCGCACGTGCTAACTGAACAAATAATATATTAATTATTTTTCAATAATTAATTTCCTTAATTGATCTATCTGTGACATAATAACGAATGACTTGGTAATTCGACTCGGTATTCTTGATTCGTGCGCGCGCTGTGGCTTCTGTGTCGCCGCTATCAAAAGGCCATTGTATTAAAGAAACTACTATACACAATGAGTGCGCCGAGCGTACGATAATTCGACAGCTCGGTAATACCTCGAGATAATAGGCGATTTCTTTTTGACAATTGGGCGAATTACGGACTACGAGATATGTTTGCGTTCATATAGCGGTGCGCTTCACTTCTGGAACGATCATGAATCAATTTGCATTGATTATAAACCTTTCGATATATTGGTCGACGTCGGATCGTACGAGCGCACATCGTTTTTAATTTTTCTTTTATCAGTCGATCGATTGGCATTCTCGCGCGTGAAATTCGTTGAAAATATTTGATTTCGATCGTGTGTGTGATGCGTTGGGTAAACATACGATGCTCGAGTGCGTAAGTAACACATAAATCTAATCGATCGCAGGAATTGCGCAGCTCCAAAGTGCAGGAGAAAGAGAGTCGAAGGGTGGCGTTTTTTTTTTTTAATTGAGCTCCGCCACGCCCTTGATTAATTGTCTATTTAGTATCGCATTCGTAGCTCGTCTCGATCCAGCGAGATACGAGCGAGTGGCCATGCATTTATTACGTACTATACACACATAGGCTTTGTAAAAATGTATTATAATCGCACAATTGCTAGTTATCAAGCGACGAGAGCGAGAGAGAGAGAGGCAGTCAGTGCCCATAAGGTCTCGAGGCTAGTATAAGCCGTGTATTGGAAAAAGTGGCTTGGACAGCACTTATACACCGAGAGAAAGAGGCACTCGAGTATGCGTGTAGATGCTCGCACATATACGCATACATGTACATGTAATATGCGTACGTAATGTAGCAAGTAAAATTTTTAACCCCTATTCGCGTTCCCATAGAAGCGGCGCGACGACGACGACGACGACTACGAGGACGATGATGGGGTGTCGTGGGAACCTTCGTCTTTTACTCGATATACATACAGCGCGCGTACGTGTATATAAGTGCAGCGCACTGTACGCGTATTTTTTCATCCACTCTCACTCGCTCTTATATACTTGGCTTATAACTCGCGCGTACCTATACATGTATGTGGTATTCGACGAGGCGCCATATACGATATTTCTTTTTTTTTTTTTAATACGCAAGACCGAAAAAAGGCTTGACTATGTATTCTGAGAGAGAAACTGCGAGAGCGCGACAATCGTCGAGTCGAGAGAAATGCATTTTTGATGACCATCATTGTCGCGCGGGCACAGACCTGCATCATGTGTGCTTTGATACTGTATTGTATGTATTTTAAACGATTTCTCTCGCCAAGCCATCGAAGCGTGTGAGAGGATCGATTCGATCGAGCGCAAAACCTACTGTTTTAAATGTGCGAGTCGAGGGCTGTTTGTTTCTTTGCTTTTTTTTCTTCGTCACTCGAGTAGGGGGATGACGACGAGTGACGACTCGAGGAATTTGCATATATAGATGCCGGTGTATTCTTACTTTATTCATATGACGTTCAATCGACTCGATAAGAATCAAATTACCCTCGCGGATCACTGCATACTGTACATATATACAGTACATACTATGCGCGAGTCTCTCGACGAGCGTTAATTTAGCGGAGACTACTCGAGTCCTGTCGCGTACTACACATAATATATCATACAGCCGTCGAGTTAATTGGAATGATTTCTTCTGCGAAAATATGTTTAATTAATGCGCAGAGCCCATAGTAATACACAAGTCTATCCGCGATATAATTATGATTTATATAAAGTTCGTTTGCAGCTTGTATATTATGTGCATTATGCGGCGTCAATAGGATTAGTGCCGTGCCAGAGAGATAACAATCGTTTCTCCTCTCTGCCTGCGCAACACGCGTACGTATATACGTACGTATATACGTATATTATCATAAATAAAGAGCAGCAGCGGCGCAACATGCACGACATTAAAACGCAACGCATCTTTTTTTTTCTCCCTCTCTCACCATTTATATGATACGTATAGCTCGAACGCACAGTCACGAGTATTATCTCGGTTTATCTCGAGCTTATCCAATCGAATTAATTAATTGCCTCTCGCTACACAGCGAAAACTGTATCGTCGCAATATTGTACAACGAAAGTAAAAAAAAAAATGTTGCTCTGATTTCAGATTCTCGGAGCGCTGCGCGGGAGAATCTTCGGAGCGGCGGCCGTACAGTAGCCGCATCAAGAATCACTGGTGAGTATTATAATACATACAATATAATGTAATCCTGCACTTTAGTACAGCCGAAATTTAGTACAAGGGAGGAAGGAAGGAAGGAAAAAATTCGCGTCCTGAGAAATGAGCAATTTTTCCCATAATTTTTGTCGCATGCGCGCACTTTTCGTGTGTATGGGAAAATTGAATCGGTAACATAGCTCCGCAGCGTACAGCCGCACAGGACTCATCCGTGCGCTGCGTATAGGAATTTCGTGTTTGTTGATATTTTTTGCCATGGTGTTACCACCACGCTCACCGAGAGAGAGAGAGAGGCACACACAAAGCGATTTACCTGAAATTCACTCGCACATAGGTATGTAATATGCACGAGAGTATAGACGAATGCGTATAGACCTGACTCCCCTCGAGCGTATGTAATATAAATCGAGGGGGATAGGGCCAGAAGTCATAGGGTCGTCGTCGTCGTCGCGCACACATATTTGCACTCCTAGTATACAGTAATATACCTGCCTTGGAATTCTCGATCGAAATGTGTAGGTATGTGCGTGTGTAATAATATACATTTATAGGAGTGTGTCGTAACGTTCGCGACAGTTTGGCTGGACTAGCAATTACGGTACATTTCGATAATTAATACGCAATTATAAGTGTATTGAGCAATGTGTCGAATAAATTTTTTTAGAGAATTTTTGCTGAGGCATACATATATGAGTAATCGTAGGATATAATATATCGGGTCCTGCACACGACTGTTCCCCCGAATCTCCGAGAGAAAAATCTAATAGCCGATCATAGGTTCAGGTGTGCCTGTGCTAGATCGAGCTGTGAGGCGTCCTACACGCGATGCGAATTTTTTTTTCCTCGCTTCCACGCACAAGCCGCGTCTTCTCTCCTTTGTGATTCCGTTTCTTTACAATGCGGCTCCTTCTCTCGCACTCCGCGACTCTCTTTTCTCTCTCTCGGCGCACGCACACACACACACGCACAGATGGTTGTGTATAGGCATTACCAGGGCTCAGAGAGCCGAAGGTATTATACAAGAGAGAGAGAGAGAGTAGGGGCAGCTGTACGCGCTATAAGCTTCCTTACTTGCACGCAGGTATATATGTATAAGCGAGTACGCGCGTACTTGGCCTCCGCCTGCGTGTAGTACTACATCGATGCTCGTATCCCAATGTACACACATACATAATGTCGTTGTTGTATGTTAAGGCCTGCAGCCTATATGCTATATATAGCAGTACACACGCCAGCCTCAAAGATATACGAATGCTCTCGTTCAGGCTCCGGTCTTCTTCTTCTTCTTCCCTCTTCCTCGCTCGTACACCTATATACATATACTTTTATGCACGCGCCGGTGTATGTGTTATATAGGTACATCTTCCCGAGCGTAGCACGTACACCTATATACCTATAGGGCCCCTTTCGAAATATCATCGTTTTCTCGCTCGCTCTTCCCAGCAGCACACGGCATTTTTTTGCCTTTTAGCTCTCGTGTGCGGCAGCGGTGGTCGTGGCCCCAGAGGGGAGGACTAGTTTCACTGCCGATTTGCACGAGCCGCAGCGAGTAAAAGCGAGAATAAGCAGCGGAGAGAAAGAGAAAAGAGTCTGCGAGTGTATATATGCATCGAAAGACAGAGAGAGAAAGAGACAGAGAGAGAGAGAGACAGGGAGAGAGAATCGGCTGCAACCAAGTACGCGTGAAAAAAAGATGCAGGAGGGGGTCAATGACTTTGTATCTCACTCGATCGAGAAAATGCGGCCCTTTTTGTTTAATTTTTCCCTTTTTTCCTCTGTTACTCTCTCACGTCTACATGAGGGGTCGCGCACTTTGACACCTTGTAGGATATTATAAACCGGCGTGGGATACATCGGCAAATGCGCGTACCTGCGTACGTCCTTCTTCGATCGCGAAGGACGATCGGATGCCTAGAAAATGATCTCTGCTACGGAGTTCATCGGAAAATGAAAACGAGTTCGTGACTTGTATACATAGCATCGATCTTTATACCAGGAAAAGCGTAAAAAAGCCTCGAGAGTAAAGCTGCAAATCTCATTTCTCAATACGTATGTATAGGAAAAAAAATCGGTAATCGACTCGTCGTTGCGCGCGCGCCTGCAACATACACACCTCGCGCTCCGCGCGTGCTGCTACGCACAAGACTTCGAATGAAAAACAAAAAAAAAATCAACTCGCGCCTGGCATACACTTATATACGGGTATTATATGTAAGAGAGGATATTTAGCGCGATGTGCATTTACGCAAGCACTGCATCGAACGCGTATGCTACATAACCAGTCTTTTGAGTATTTCTCTCTCTCTTTCTCGTTTGCCATGGTATACACACGCGATCGCTGCGAGTCGCGCGACGTATATGTATATACCTGTTGGCTCTGCGAATTCCAACCAGTCCAGGTAAGCGAGCATAAGTAAAGTATACGTGTGTGGCTGTGCTCGGGCTCGACTGCTCTCGCTCTACAGCCCTGGCAACGGTCAAGCTCGTCGTCGTCGTCGTATAGATGAAGGGAGCAGTCGAGGTAGGGGGAGATCACTCCGTCTCTTTCGCGCTGCTGCTGCTGCAGCCTCGGCTCGTCGCTATTTCAAACGTGGATGGAGGGGCCTTGCGTGCTCCAAACTCTCCCGCAAAAGACTCGGCGCAGTCGGGTCGCAAGCCGGGATCGGGCCGCATCTCCCCCCGTGTATTATATACGTTGTATAGTACACCGTGTCGCGCGGGGCCTTCGGTTATAGTCGTCGTCGCGTGCGTGCCTCTCGTTCGTCCGCGTAAATATCGCGTAAAAAATCGCGAATTATCGATATTTCGTTGTGCATCACTTCGCGCGCGTCCCAAAATTCCCCAACACGCACATATAATTCGAGCGCAAATGTCAAAGAGAGTGTAAACCGACGTTGGGGCTCGTCGTTGTTTTTATTTTTAAATCTTCCAAAATTCGTTCATCGACTCTGCTCCGATTCGTGTGTTTGCGCGCTCGAATTTCTGATGCTACCGTCGAGTGATCTCAACTGTGATACAAAAATACATATCATCGAATCCAAAGTGGCCGCGAATTTCAACGAATTCCAATGATCCAACAGTGCCTGCATACATACCTATATAGCGTACGAGTAGTAGTGAGCGTGGAGTGTGCATCGTTGAATACATACATATTTTACTGAGGGGGCGCTGCCATCGCCACAGATCACACAACCGCCACTCTCTTTCTCTCTCTCTCTCTCTCTCTCTCGCGCCAAGGCAAACTGGCAAAAAGGCGACTTTTGAACGTTACGCGTTTCTGTCGAAGCGAGAGAGAATTTTGCGCTTCGGCGTCATCCAGCATCATCGGCGGCGAGCAGCTCTCGCTGCATCAGCGGCGGCCCGAAAGCTCGCGCTTCAAAGTCAAAAAAGGAGTCGCGAGCGCGCGAGTCCAGCAAATTTGACAGTTTGAAAAGGAGCTTGTGTTGGTTCGTTACCAAGCCGAGGGCATATGTGTTGTGTATATATATATGCGCTTGTGTCAGTGTGTATACCAGTGTAGTGTGTATGTGCGCGCAGCCAAGCGGCAAGCTTCAACGGAAAAACGTGGGAACATTTGCCCGTAACTCCGCGCGTGCAGTATACCTAATACATGTGCCTATCCTGCGAGTACTCGCGGCGGCGGTTGTAAATTCAAAACGAGCCTGGCAGCACACGTAGCTTATCGTTGGGAGCTGCTGTTGTTGTTGTTGCTGCTACTGATGACTTATTAATTCCGCGAGTGTGTGTGCGTGTATACTCCCACTACAATCACTACTACTACAACTAGCAGTGAATGATAGGCCCGAGGAAGGCCGCGAAGACGGAGGTGTGCGTGTGTGCGAGCTCGTTACTTACACGTTACGTCGGGCGCAGGTGATATGCAGTGCTCGTTGGTGAACGACGTCAGCCTCGCCGTCGTCGTCGTCGTCGTCGCTGTGTTATGACGCGCCGATCGAACAGCAGCGCACGGCACGACACGACCAAGAAAGTCCCACAAGTGCTTCTTCTCCACGACGATACGTTATTTTCGCAAGCCGAGGGTGAACAACCCATCGCAGCTCGAGGGCTATACTCGATACCTCGTAACGGTGGTTGTGCGTATATAAATATCAGTGGCTGTGTATATAAGCAGTGTTTTGCATTATGAAAGATTGATATATAGTTGTAAAGTGTCTCGAGATAACGACAAAAAGTTTTTTTATCAATTTGTGTGTCTGTGTCTCTGTGTGAAGCATAATAAAAAAAGTGACGAATCGATTTGGAGAAGAAGAATAAGAAATAAAAATGGGTAATCATCCGACTCATCATCAGCCGCTCGAGCGCGGCACACGTGGACATGGCCTTCGGCTCTCGGTACATACATATATAATATAAAATGCACACTATACACGCTAATTATATCTCTCTTAACATTTTTTAACTCCTTTTTCTCGCCTCCTACTCTCAGCGTGCAAAACCACATTAATATACGCTATATTTATACGACTTTGGAGCTCTCTGTTGTGTGCGTGTGTGCTATATAACTGTTTGTTTTTGCCCGCTGTGTTTATTATGCTTCGAAGCTACAGCGGCACCGAGTTTTTAAATGGCGAATATGGCAATATTATTTACGTGTAAGAAGTGGCTCGCTCGCTCGCGACGACGATGATCGCGCGCTGTGCAGTGCACATTTTTAGCGCACGCAGCCATCGGAGTCATCGAATATCATGTACTATAAATAAAACCTCGAGCTCTTTTCATATGTATAATTCGTGTGTGTGTGCCTCTCTTTTTGCCAATATTATATATGCGACGAATTACGCCATTCCCATAATAATGTAACGCTTTTAATCGGCGCGTGGAATTCTCCTCGCACCGCCACCTTCATCGGCCACAGAGAGGAGAGAGGATATTATCAGCAAAAAAGAGAAAACGACGACGATGACTAAAATATAATAATCGAAAATTGACTCTCTGGGCTTCCATGACTGATGCACACAGGCACGACGATATTATATTTGCAGGCGCGTATAAATATAGATGCGTCACGCGCGCGTCGATGTGTTTAATTACTCGATTATGTAGCGCTCCGAAAAAGCGATATCGCGCAGAATGAATAGAGTATATAGTATCCTATCTGCTTTGATACCATATAGCTATATAACACCGTTATTATTACAATGACGCGCGAGCGCCGCATACCTATATATGCGCTTTTTCCCGAACGAATACTGCTGATGCTTTTGCACGCACACATACATACATGCACGCATATGACGCGCATTCGGATTCGCGTATTTTCCCCTCTCTCTCTCTTGCAATTTTTTTGTGCCTACCTCGCATCACAGCTCGTATTGAGAACTAAACGATACCCATGCGCCCCCTGGTGGATCAGTGGGGAATTGAGGCAGATGAGTAAATTTTAAAAAATAACATGTAAAAATGGGAAAAACTGTAAATAAAAAATGCTAGCGATAACAATGTTCATGTTTATCATTCTTAAAACAAAGATCAGACCCTCACATAATATTAGAAACAATAAAATTCTTGAAAAGTTTGATCTGCGGGTCTTGAATAGTAAAATGAATGTAGCAAAATTTCGCGGGAGTTGCCGTCGCCACCGCAAGTTGATTGATATTTGCGATTCTTTTGTTTTTTATTTATCCATTATTCTACTACATTGTGTTCACGCTCATCATATCATAAATATATTATCGAGATATAAGCTAAAAATGAGTAATATAAAATTAGAAATAAGCTTTGAAGATATTTATACGATATTAGGGGATTCAAAGCGACCTATAGTCGAAGGTATAGCCGTTTTATTAGCCGATCACATTTTATTGTGCGTACTATAAAAATAATTATGCAAATGTTAATTAGATAAGCATTTAATGATTGATCTTCAAAAAGGATTTGATACAAACCTGGTAAAAAATCTTCAGGTAAAAAGTGATGGTTACATATACGAGCATGCACTGATAAATTTTTTACTTTCAGAGCCAGTAGCCACTTAATTCTGAACGATCTTTTGGTGGTTTATGGAAACTAATACAGTCTTCGTGTGCCTTTTTTTGTACATCCCTGTACACTGCAATACACTGGTTTTTTAAGTTTATCTATGTCAAATATAAAAAAATTTAGTGAATCTTGGCAATGTCAACAAACGAACGGCAAATGCTCAGCAGACACCAGTAGGGTGCTACTTATGCTGTTTTCGAAACTGCTGTCAATCGTGACTTTTAATTAGTGTTATTTTAAAAATGTGACAATTTTTCAAGAATGTTATTGTTCCTAAAATTATGTGAGGGGTTGATCTTTGTTTTAAGAATGATAAACATCCACATTGTTATCGCTGGCATTTTTTATTCACAGTTTTTTCCATTTTTACATGTTATTTTTTAAAATTTACTCATCTGCCTCAATTCCCCACTGATCCTCCAGGGGGCGCATGGGTATCGTTTAGTTCTCAATATACAACCTGTAAGGCAAGCGCAAGTACGCGTGTAATACCGGAGCCCCCGTCTATGCTACATATGCAACGGCGTAACGAAGCGTATTTCATTAAATACGTACACACGTACGTATGCATCGGTATGGACGAAAAATCCTCGCGCGTATCTCGCAAACTTTTTAGCCCTTTCGGATCCTTTTTCTCTCTCTCTCTCTCTCTCTCCTTTTTTTTAATTGCACGCGTGCGCGCAATCCGATAACGCTCGACGAGTCGCGCTACGGACGCTTTTTTTTAACGAGGCTCGAGTCGAGCAAAATTGTCAGAGTTAAAAACGACGCTAGGCTGTGAAGCCTCTCTACACCTATACATACATAGGTATGCGACGATTGCTAGGGTGCAGCAAAAAAAAAGCCATAAGGGGTAGAGCACGAGAGAGAATCGAGGAGAAAAGTCGCGCAAATTCGAATCGCTCGAGCATCGCTGCTACCGCTGCCTCTCTCGTGCCTCCATAATGCGCATTTTTGTATATTATATATATAGAAGCCTCACTATATACTCCTCTTGATCCTCGACAGCTGTAGATTTTTTTCTCCTTCCTAGAAAAAAAAAAAGAAAAAAAAGTTTTGACGCGCCAGCAGCCGCCGCCCGCGCTTCAGCCGATGTAGTACTGTATGTGCACGCTCGCGAACGCGTGCCATACACATATATATCGCAGAGATACTTATACGACGTGCCGAGTACTACATACCATAATGCACGAGGAGGAGTGTGTATGTGTGTTGGCGGTGACGACGACTTATCCCCTAAAAATCACGATTCGCAGCTGTCGGAAGCTGCTGCTATTGCCGCTATACGCCGGCTTTCGTTCGTTTCTCTCCGCGATGCCGATGATGATATTTTAAGAGCTGCTCTATTCCTCGAGCAACGTACTTTTTTTTTCTTTACTTTTTCCATATACAACGAGCGTACATGCCGTACGTATGTATGTTGTATATGCGCCTGTTTAGCCGGTGGCCGACCTGGATGAGACGTTGTATGCTTACTTACTACGCAGCCGTGACTCCATTATTAGGGTTGATTAGATAAACTTTAATGGCTGACGATTAGCAGAGAATATTCTTCCTCGTCGTAGTCGTATTGGTAGATAACCCGGCCACACATTGCCGCGCTATCCGCGTCTCGATCTCGATTCTCTTTGGTCTATATATCAATCGTAAATACCTGCGTGATAAATACGCATTCCACGCGACGACGACGATGATAATAACGAGCGGAGAAACCCGATTGACGTTTTGTGTATTCGTATAATAGTTGTAACAATCGGGAAAGAGAACGTCCATTACAATGACGCGACTTCCGCATTGGGCATTTAATCGAAATCGGAATTTCGGGCCATTTACCGGGACTATACAAACAGCGTACGTATGTATCTAGGTATACTAATTAACGATCATCGATAACTTCTCTCTTCTTCGAGTCATCGTGTAAATGCTACGTCTCGAAGAAAAAGTGAAATTCTCTCTGTCTATCGACAAGGCGCGCGCGACATCTCCCCGCGGAGCATCTGCGCTCGAGCCGCAGCCGTATAACGCAGCGATATATGTTTATTCAAGGCGTCCTGTTTATCACTGCCGATATTATATGGTCCCAAAAGCACATATTTACGCGCATGGGATATTTATTAATAGACACGGGCGCACTTGGAATCGGTATGTACGTATGTATGTGCGGTAATTCTAATCGCCTCACGTGTTCAACACAGAGGGAAAAAATATGGAGCAGTAGGTACTTACTGGTAGACTCCAAGCCTGCACTTTGTGCTCGGAGTCGAACAGGCTCTATTTAAGTTGCTGCTCGAGGCATTGGGCCGCACCGGCGATCGGCCGCGAGGAAAGAAAAAAAAGAGATCGGAGCGAGAAAAAAAGAAAGGGACGCGAGTATGGTTAAAGAGCCGTAAGTTTGTTTCAATTCTCCAGGCCAGGTGAACGATCAGCGAAAGAAAAACAATCCAGTCGTCGACGACCCGTGACTCGCTCGATTATTATATTCCGGCTCGATCTGTATGTATACAGAGACAAAAGTCGGTTAAGACGTTTGTTTCGTGAACACGTCGATTTCCCGAAATTCGACTGCACCTTTTGCTCGCCTCGCTGAGTACTTGGTACACTTATAACTCCATGTAATATAACGGAGCCCCGAGAATATAAACATGGAATATCTCCACTTGGTGTGTACATGTATATAGGCTGTGCACAATCGGCCATTAAAGCACTACTGCGCCTCCTCTCTGTGCAAGAGCGAGAAAGAGAGAGAGAGACGAAAATTGCATTAAAACGATTATTGCACAACAATAACAGAGCTCGACGAGAGAGAGAGAGATGATATAGGCAAAGTCGAGTAATGTACGTGCTACGAGTGCAGCTCGGAAGGTGTGGGTCGAGAAAAAAAAGCACACGGACAAACTGACAGACAGTTAAGTCGGACTCTCTGACGCGCAGACAATCGTATAATACGTATTATAAGACGCACGCGGAGAGCTCGCGCGGACACTTGCAGTTCAGAAAACGGAAGTTACAATATATAATGTATGCTAGAGAGAAGAGAAGAGAAGCGACTCGCGCTCGCGAAACAGTAAAATATATTATATAATTGCGTAACTCGCGTCACGCGCTCCAAGCCTTATTATATTCATTCGCGCGGTTATATATCCTCAGCTTGGATCATTCATTCGATACAGCAGCAGCAGCAACTGGATGCTTAATAATAATGCATGTATTTTCGAATCGAATCGAATCATTGAAAAAATTTTTGCGCTGATCCATCTCGGCAAATCGACACGGCGCTCATGGGCGTACTATTAAACAACGACGTAATGATATAACGTACGAGTCCAGGCAAAATAAAGCCGCGCGTTATGCCG